AAACAAATGAATTATACAAAAAGAAGAACAATTTAACAAATAATAAAAAGGCGACAAAAAATTAGGTCAAAGTCTCCATTGAAAGATCTTTTGTTGATTAGGTGTTTAGGGTTTTCTTAAATTCACTCCATCTCACGATAGCTGAATTCCCAGTGATACATCATTGCCTGACGGACTCAATTTCTTCCATCTTGCTACTCTTTCATTAAACACCTCTTTTCCAACACTTTTCATTTCCTCTCAATACGTAATAGGACGACTTTTGTACGGTGTCCTTAAGGGCAAGCAACACAATCAAAACATGCCACATGGGAGACCGTTACGCCTAATGGAACAGAAGAGATTAAATGACACGCTATGTTACACTTCGAAGACACCGTAGACGCTAGTCGTAAGATAGTGCGCTAGTTTCCCCTAGGGCAACTTCTGACGTTACGCGGGCACCCCTGGCCCATTAATCTGGAATTCGAGCATTGCGGGTGACAGGAACAGTGGTTTATTAAGCATCGTCAAATCAAGCGTGACTTGTGAATATGTATGGCCACCTGGTTAACGAAACGACATGTTTTTCTTCCAATTTACACCCCAAACTCATTTAATTAAAGAATCTCTATTATTATCAAAACCAGGCCTCCGTAATTCCCTGCATGTATGAAAACAATCATTGTATTAATAGCCTACAGATGGAAATTCACTTTTTTTTCCTCTTTCATTTTCAGGTAACCTTGTTATGTATCAATATATTTTTGTTGATAATCTTGATTTCCTCTTGCATATTTAGCGTGGAATCTCGTACCCTGACAATGAGGGATTAGTCAGATGTTAAAGAACATAACTGTTCGGGGGTTTAATTTCCTTTGAAAACGACGAGGCGCACTGATTCGCGCTATTTTCCACCTTTTTTCATAGCTTTTTATTCTCCTCTCTCATAAAGAAAATGTTACATAATTTATAACATTTTATACAAAATTACAAATAATCTTTACCTGGGTTTAAAATAAATTTGCAAGTGAACTTACACATTTCCATACAAGGTTACAAATTAATTTTCATATAAAATATATTTGCAAATTAAGTTACACATTTACAGAAGAAAAATATTCACATAAACAAATCCCACATAAAGTTTCACAATTTCTTTGATCAGCTTGCATACCAATTTCTTTTCTTTTCCACAATAATTTTTCAAAATTTCCTTCAGAGAGAAAAAAAGGGTTATGATATGCGATAGGTGAAAGGTAACGTCAGAATACTTCGATCACACCGCTAAACTTGAGGGTAATACAATGTACAAAGTTCTAGTATGGCGTCATGAATTTGGTTCAAAATTAATGAACACATTGGAAGCATATGCGATTTTACAATATTCAATGATCGTTGTCGCGGATGAAATCGAGTCTAAAGTGATGAACTTGTAAATAATAAACTCTTTATGTTGTATAGCACCCTCTCAAGGCTGATATTACTTTAGCTTTAAAACGATGTTTCTTGACTACAATCGACCGATTAGCAATTTCTGTTTGGAAATGTATCAGAACTGCATATTTGAGATTTTCATGGTTGCAGCTACCATGGAATGGCCTTAGGCGCTATTTTAAATATTTGATTATTCAAATTTCTCGAAAGCGGAAGTGTTTTATGGGCTAAATTTACCAGTGCTTATGAGACATCCACAGGGCATTCAAATATATAAAAATCAAAGAATTACTATCCATCCAATTTTCATAATTTCCCAAAACTTTGCACTACCTTTATTCAAAACTGACTCCATACCGACATGTTGACGTATTTGTTCGTTCTGGTGTCGCTCCCATCGGAGTGACTCGGGTGTCATTGGGGATATCATTAGGGACTTTTAGATTTGCACAACGACAACGTGGATTGCTACGATCGAAGTTCTTTTAATGCACTGCCTTGAATGGACGTCACACGTATCAGTCCACTCAAATCTAAAACTCCCTATTATCACGGTGTGGAGTCATTCAACGATTTGGAGAGCTGCTGTTACTGAGGATCATGATTATGCTTAATAATTTTTTTTTTCTTTCCATTTTTTGGACCCTCCAACAGGCCATTTATTGAAAATCAATCTCAAGATAACATATTTGAACACATGTTCCAATGAATATCATACAATATTTCATAATAAGATATACATAACGAATATCAACCATAATACTGTATATACAGAACATACATGTAGATAAGGGAAAGAAAAACAAATATTAAATAATAATGCAACATCATGACTGAAAATGATATGGGAAATTCAATATACTCCTATTAAAGGATCAAAATCCTCTCAAAATTTATCCATTTTTTATCGAATTTGTCAGTTTTGTTAGCAAATATACTAACTTGCCTCTCATTTGTGTAACTATTCTTGATATATTGTTTTATTGTCCGAAAGGACGGTACAGACTTTTGTATTCGAGAAAAATATAATTGTTGTTTAGTCCAAATTATTATACAGTTTAAAGCATCATTTCTTTTTTCAATGAAACCTAACAAAACATGTATTAAGGACAGTTTTATTCTACAGCGTGTTACAATAGTTAACCAGTCAGTCAAACGACTCCAAATCAATTTGGTCACGTTACAGGAGTAAAAAAAGTGTACCATATCTTCTTCTTCTCTTCCACAAAGGGAACAGTTCTTATTTAAAATTATGTTAATTTTCACAAGATCTTTATTCAAATATAGTATCTTATTCAAAAGTCTGTACTGAAAGTACCGAACTGTTGTATGCGTTGTACAGCGAAACATAACCCTGAAATAATATTGCATATATTTATCATCAAATAATACACCATCTGCATGCCATTTATTACATAATTTATTCAAATGTTCATCCTTTTCTTTTAACATAATTTGATAAATATGTCTACATCCTTTTTCATCTTTCAACAAGCATGAAATATATGCAGGGCACAATGGTCCATTTACCTTCATATTACAACTTTCCAATTGGGACTTGTATTTGCATTTAATTATTTGACAGAGTGCATAATAATGAAGAAACTGTATTTTGATTGAAAACTTTTTTTCACACTCTTCTCTTGCTAAGATGTGTCCTTGATCATCTAGTAAATCGTTTAAAAATCGAATACCTTTATCACACCATTCTTTTAAAAATATACCCTTTCCTCCAATTTTAATCTCAGAATTATACCAAATAGAAATAGCTTTCCAAAAAGGAGTAGTAGTACATTGAACCTGGCGGACAAAATAAGCTAGTATTTGGAAAAGTTCTTTCCAAAAACAGTTTCTTAGCATAAATGATAATTTAGTGAAATATATATCACCTTTACCCCATTCCAATGATGATAGTGGACGTAAGAAAGCGTACATTAAATGGGTAACGTCTTCACATGAGTTCAACAATATTCTTCTAATCCAGGTCAGTTTCAAAGCTCTAGAAAATTGTACAACATCAACCATTTTCAATCCACCATTTTCGTAAGAACAAACCATCTGTTTTCTGCTAATCTTATCAGGTTTCCCTTTCCAAATAAATTTAAAAAAAGAGACATTTATTGCTTTTAAAAGATGTTCAGAAGGGTTAGGAATGGACATAAATAAATGGTTAAATTGCGAGACTAGCAGTGATTTCACCAAGACCACGCGACCAAAAACAGAAATGTTACGTTTCGACCAAGATATCATTTGCCTTTTTAGTTTATCAAATATTCTGTCGTAGTTGAAATCCGGAAGCTTTTCTAAATCAATACCAAAGTCTATTCCCAAATACCTTATGAATCCCCCGTTAACCAACGATATGTCAGTCCCATGAACCTGATGTAAATCAATATTTACAGTTTTTTTCAAGGAACCGATACACAATATCTGTGTCTTATTTATATTAAGATTTAAACCTGAATACTGAGAAAAGAACTCCAATAGCTCCAGAGCATAATGTAAACTTTCTGTACTATCGAGACACAACACTGTATCATCAGCGTATTGTAATATTCTATATTCCTTGTTTTCTATAACTAAACCTTTTATCTTGTGGGATTTTCTGACCAACATGCCTAAAATTTCTGCACATAATAGAAACAAATATGGAGAAAGCGGATCTCCTTGTCGGCAACCCCTTTTAATATTAAAACGCGAGGTTAAACAACCGTTAATTAACACATTTGAAGCAGAATTTGAATATAGTAATTTGATCCATTGGATAATTTTATCCCCGTAATTAAAGAAATGTAATACATTCCATAGAAAATCGTGTGAAACACAATCGAACGCCTTTTCAAAGTCAATAAAAAGTAATATCCCAGGAATATTTTTATGATCTGCATAAGAAATTATGTCATGAATTATTCTGATATTTTCTCCGATGTATCTACCGGACAGAAAGCCTTTCTGATCTTTATGTATGTTTTCGTCTAACAATGGTTTTATTCTGTTTACAATGCAACTAGAAAGAATCTTATATTGGACATTGAGCAAAGATATAGGATTATGATTATGCTTAATAATAGTTGATATATTTCCGCTTTAGTTCAGGGAAGGCCATGCACGTGTATGATTACGTAATACATTGGAGCCCCCCCCCCGCTCTCTCTCTCTCTCTCTCTCTCTAGGATGGCCCCCACCATTGTGGACTAAGCAGGATCGTGCCCCAAGAAACCATAGAAACCGAATCGCACTATCCAAATGGTGGATGTTCCTTGTAATGAGTCCTGGATACTGTTTCACGAGATGGTGTCAGGTACAACTTCGCCAACATCCCATTGAAACCCATGTCCCTTTTTAATACATCCGTTTCAACGAGATGTCTATAAACTTGTACTCACGTCTCGTGAAACGCCTCCCTGATAGCGAACTTTTTAATTCACCTGTTACGCGTGATGGCATAACTATAGGTGTCTTCAACCTATGTTGCATTCATTGTTGCTTTGTCAGACATACCTCGGGAATCACCCACGCGGTCATTATTGGCACCCTTGTATGAGAAGAATGCAAACGATTATAATTGATTAGCTCGACTTTTTCAGTCACTTTCATTTCCTCGACATACATCACATCGGACAAGAGCTCAGCTCGATCCCTTTTCTCATTTTTTCTTTTCGTTAATTTTTTTTTTCGTTAATTGTCTTTCCTCACGCTTTCTATGTTTCCTGTACGACGGGACAATCTTGCACCATGTCCCGTATTTCCAGCAACCTTGTTTTATTTATGTTTGCCTTCGGAGCTGGCATTTTGTTCTCTGTTTCTGATGCTATGTCGGTAAAGCTGGCGGAAGCTGTGGATGCCGAGATGCGGGCACATTTGACGCGGATGGACGTACTTGCGGATAATCTCCATGTGACGCACTGGAGGTAAGTCAATGAGAAACTCTCTTTCAAAAAGTGCATGAAGCTCATTCAATAACATTCTAAATGAGCCGGGTGAAGGGGGGAACATTATGTAAGATGATTTTAACTGGATTAAAAACGTTAACTAGAGTAGCGTTTCACTAGGCCGTCACAAGTACAAGTTCCTCTACAATCTAATGAAATGCGTGTATTGAATTTAACGCGTGTTTCAATGGGAAGTCGGTGGACTTGTATTAGGGACTTTTAGATTTGCACAACAACGTGGATTGCTACGATCGACGTCCTTTTAATGCACTGCCTTGAATGGACGTCAAACGTATCAGTACACGCAAATCTAAAAGTCCCTATTAATGGTTTCGTGGAACATGCCCTGAAAGGCTGTCCATATTCACGTGTTATGCGGATGCCTGATTATTAGGCCAGCGTTGCACATTATGAACCAGAAATACCTTTAAAAATAACATTTTGAAAATTTACACGATCCCAATCGTTTGGAGCCAAAAAGGGCGTTAAAGGAAACATCACCCCGAAGAATTAGTGTAGGTATGCTGAAAGATGACATTTATTCCTGTCTATTGCGAAATTTTCAAGATTAGTATAAATGAAGATATTCTTAGTATGTAGTGATGCATTATCATGAGTGCAGCCATTTTCCTGAAAAGTGACGTACCAGGCGAACTAATACACTTAGCATGCACCAAGCTACAGCTCTATATGCTTTGCTGGAGTGAGCTACAGTTGGAAAAACTATTTATTTCAACAATAAATCCCGTACTTTTTAATAAAGGAAAATCATATCTGAATATGTAAAAAAAATAATAACTGTAATTAGTGATAAATATAGAACAGGGGAACAGTTATTTAAGCCCTATTTGAAAATGATGAATTATAGCAGTTTACTTACCTATTTCCCTTATGCGAAACATTCAGCCCAGAAGGGTAACAACTTATTTTAGCAATTTGCGTTCTGACAATAATAATATAAAAGATAATACTTCAACACCGACACACGTGGAAGGAGACATCCATACATTTGAATTCATTTAATTAAACGACTTCGCATGCTACGTCACATTATCGAGAAATTAAGCGACGCCCATGCCCCCCCCCCCCCACTCAGTGTTATTTAGGGTACGCATATGCATGTTCCCTCCTTTTGAAAACACCCCCCAAGGCCCATGTCTTGCTGAGAAACTACATTATGCTAAGAATATCTTGTTTACACCTATCTCGTAAACTTTGGTGGGAATCTTACAGACTAACGGGCGAGAATACAGTGAATCTCTCAGAATAACTAAACTTATTTCTTAGGGTGAGGTTTCCTTTAAAATGTTTGTAGGGATACGAGTAATGCCCTTCCGGTTCTAATCCAATTCCCACTCGTACATGGAGGTGATATATTGGATAACCTCGTACGTGTGCCATTCAAGCAACACGCGGGAGGTTATCCGTAGGATGGATTTTTAATACACAGGCTCGTAGTCAGGGGGCGGTGGGGCGGTCGCCCCCCTCCCCCAGAAAAGACAACAGATTTTAAAACATGGAGGGATCCTACTTTGCGAATTTTAAAATCTCTCTGATGGAGGTAGTTCAAGAATTTGTTTTGTTCTACTTCTGAAAAGAATATTTACCCCTTTATAGCATGAAATGCACTGAAGTAAATTTTATGAGCATGCGCAGATTGCTTCAGAGGTTAGGGACCAACGGTTTACCCCAGGTGAAAAGGATGATACAACGTGTGAGAGTAGAAGAGAGTTTGATACAAGAGGGAGCAAGCAGATGGGGTAACTTGGGGGAATAAGGTTGTATAGAGACAATGGGCCGTATGCATAAAAAGTAGCAATTGCTTGCAAGCAATTGCTTCAAGCACAAGCAATTGCTTGTCAAGCAAAAGATCAAGCTCAAGCAATTGCTTAAATCCGTATGCATAACATTTTGCTTGTGCTCAAACCTTTTGCTTGCCTCCAGCAAGCAATTGCTTACGATCTCAACAATAGCGACGTCACGCCGGTGCGAACATCATTCATGGGAGAACAAAGGCGGGTTTCGCATACTAGTAGTGTATTCAAATGTCATGCGTGTGGGGTAGCCTTTCCTGACATGGCAGTATAACATTCCAGGATGACATATTTCAGAACAAAATGAAAAAAAACAAAAAACACCGATACATGCACACATGATTTATTATACTCCTGTACAACTTTGGTTTTTCTCTAACGAGCATACACATGATGCTTAACCGCGAACGTCCCGATTAAGCAAGAGCTCAAGCTGCTATGACGGAGCTTGAAAAAACGTAAGCAATTGCTTATAAGAACAAGCAAAAGGTTCGTTTTATGCATACGTTTTTAAGCAATTGCTTGATCTTTAAGCAATTGCTTGCGGACATCAAGCAATTGCTTGTGCTTGCTAGCAAAAGCATTTGCTTGCAAGCAATTGCTTATGTTTATGCATACGGATTCAAGTAAAAGGCTAGCACAAGCAATTGCTACTTTTTATGCATACGGCCCATTGTAGAGGTGCCGTGGTCGAGTGGGTAATGTCGCCGGACTGTCGATCACAAGGTCCGCGGTTCGAGACCCGCCGCGGCACGAATGTGAATTTGAATTTGAATTTGAATTTGAATTTGAATTTGAATTTTGAATTTGAATTTGAATTTGAATTTATTAACAACAACACATCACAATAATGACAGTACATATGAACAATCATATAATGCAAAGAATAATACTGATACATGTATACATAACACAAGAGTAATGTCGATTGAACAGTAATGGTTTTAAAACGTTTTTTTTTTTTAGACATACATCTGCATACTATTAAATGTACAGAAGATATATACGTAAATATGTATATTACTATGTTTAGGTGAAGTTGTTAATGGGAACTAGAAGTTAGCACAAGTGCTAGTCGAGCCTAGTTCCATTCTTTGGCAAGATTTTTTTCTGTTAATTTGTTTTTACATATGAATGTAAAACTTGTTTGTTTTGTATTTACATATATACAACAAAATAATACAATATCATGTAACTTTTTTTCTTTACTAAAATGAAAAAAAATAAAAATAAAAAAGCTTAAGCGTTAAAGCATTATAATGAAAGAAGACAAATCTTTGAAGAAATAAAATCATCAATGTGTTCATAAAAATGAAAAGGATGTATTAATAAAAATAATCATACACATGTTCGTACATGCACAAATCCTGTAAAAGCTTAAGGCCGCTATAATCGTTAACAAGGAAGTGTATACTTATATAAAAGGAAGACAAGTAATATAAAAGGAAAAAACGAAGGGGGGTGGGATTGAGCCCACGTCATTTACATTTCCTTTGGCAAGACATTGATCTACATTTGCCACACTCAACCCAGGTAATGTAAATGGGTACCTGGCAGGAATTAATTCTTCGAAATGCTAGAGCGCCGTAATGCATGGCCCTGGGAAGCGGGGGTGCTGGGGGTGCTGCAGCACCCCCGGAATTTTTCCAGGGGGGGGGGGGGGGCATAGCACCCCCTGCAAATTTTTTCGGTATGATATATTTACTGTATCAGGGGCGTACGCGGGGGGGGGGGGGGGTTTGGGGGTTCAACCCCCCCCCCTTTGGTATTTTTTATGTGTGTAAACCCCCCTAAAAAAAGCTAAAACCCCCCCCCTCCCCTTTGGTTTTTTTTTTTTTTTAATTATAAAAAAAAAAAAAAAAATATGCCCACGGCTGACCTAAAAAAAGTGTCCGCTTACCCCCCCCCCCCCCCACCCCCCCCCCCCCCCCCCGCTTATTCAACGGCTGGCTGAGTCGTTGCGAAAATTTCGCAATATATATATCTCAGCGGCTCCGGTGAAAAAATCGTTCCCAGGACCCTGAGCATCCCCGGTGAAAAAATCGTTCCCAGGGGCCTGCCGTAATGACAGCACAGCTAAAGTTGGGGGTAATAATCTCCAGTGATTTTAATATAAAATAAAAACTGAGTATTATTATTATTATGGCAATTGTCACGATGAAATCACTCGACCTCACTATGAAAATGACGGACAAAGAAAGAGGACAAAATAAACAGTTCCTCAGGTAGACAAAAGAACATCCCTTCACTGCTATTATGTAAAAATGTGTAGAACAGGTGTCACATGCATATTCACCTGTTCCTTTGTCTACCTGAGGAACTGTATATTTTTCCTCTTTCTTTGTCCGTCATGTTCATAGTGCCTACACCTCTTTTGTTTCCATTATCTATAGGGCGGTACGTGAGATGAAAGATAATCATGCTCGGATGCGATCCAGGAGAGCTGCCACCGTTCAACTTGACGATCTTCGGCATGGCTTTGTCCCCGGGTCCGGAGCAGGAAACCGAGAATGTAAGTCAAGGAAACTCAAGCACCGGGGTGTTTCACAAAGATTAAGATCGACTTTAAGTTGGACTTAACTATGGCAGGCCATTCGTGCCACTGGTTGCTCTCACCATTGGTCTTTCAATTATGATCTTTGAATAATATTTTTTTCCTTCAAAAATTATTATGAACTTTCAAAAAATGTAAATTCTGTAGATGTGTGACCATGATTTGTACGTCCCTTAGGAGACCAATGCCAGTAAACGGTGAGAGAAAATAGTGGCATGAACGGCCGGATATAGTTAAGTCCAACTTAAATTCAATCTTAGCCCTTGTGAAACACCCACCCCCATGGTCTCGTGATTCCCTAACTGCGCTGTTGGTTCTCCCCATAGAGATGGCTCTACGCATGGTTCTCGCATCGAGTCCTCCGTCTGCGAAGTGGGTAACGCACTGTTGGCAAGTCGACCAAGAGATAGCGCTGTGCAATAAACAGTACCAGAGCCGGCCAGTAATATTTCATTAGATTTATTCAAACATATTTATACAGGTACACAAGATCAGAAGTAAATCTGTTTTGCACCTATGACCTGGTATTAAAAACATCATATAAAAAAGTAGTTAAATAACAAAGTATAACAAAGTAAAACACACAATACATCATAGTAATACAACATATGGTAGTATAATAATTCAAGGCCTTAACAACAATGATTCTAAATATAAATGAATGCTACATATAATAATTTGAATATAAAATAGTCGTATAAGAGTATGCAAATGTAAGTTTTCAGATTAGAGGTTGAGGTAATTTCAATGGATTTGATTTTGATTTTTTTGTACAATGATTTGAACATTTCTAGAGACTGAGCATTTTGAAAGTTATTGGGTAATAGATTCCATACTTTAGCACCGGCATATTTTAAGGACTGACAATAAAGTTGAATGTTAAGGGAAATTGCATTACGCGTATTTAGTCCATGTCTATCCCGTTTATGCAATGCGATCGAAATGTATAGATTTATGTATAATATTCAGCAGTGTCATGCTTAAGAATTTTCCTAATTTTCCAAGGCAAAACATCTTGTATGCAACTGATTTCCATAACTGTCTTAAATAATCATTCCATTTCAGGTTTTCATGAATAATAATACCTAAATACCTCATAGAATGGACTTGCTCAATAAGTTCATGGTCAATGTAAATATCCAGACATACAGATGACTTAGTCGTAATAAGCATTGTTTTGGTTTTACTTATATTTATCTTAAGACAGTTTCTATTGATACCAACTATTTAAAACATTCATCGTATTTTGTAAACTAATAGTAACATTATGAATATTTTCACCATTAACATAGATAACTACATGTCAGCAGAGCATACTGCATCATTAATACCTTCAGATATATCATTAATAAATAAGAAGAAGAGGTACCCCAAATAATAATTCCTTTATAGCTGAGTTCTTACCCTTGGAGCAAACTAGTTGTTTTCTTCCAGTAATATAATTCGAAAACCATTTTAACTCTTTATCATATATGCCATATTTCTCTAGTTTGAATAAGAGTAAATCATGATCAACGCAGTCAAAGCATTTTGGTATGTCAAGAAAGCATGACCCAATTAATTCCTTATTATTAAGGGCTCTGAACAGGACCAGAGCCATCTAGACAGATAGATTGCTGTGAATAGGACGTTAGGGCAGAACGTTCAATCAGTTTAATATCGCTTTAAAGAGCGGAGTTGACATTGTGGTCGGTTGGTGTATTTGAAAAAATGGGTAGAAAATTTGATGCCCAGTTTTTTTTATATAGACTATTAGTGAACATAGTCAACTGTAGGCCTATTCATTTCTTTTTCCTAATGATGAAAATGTCTCACTTTAACTTATTACCTACAAATATTTTGTTTTTCCGGATTAATAACATAATTCATTGATTTTTTCGAAATCAATGGAACTGTACTAATGTCGTATACCGGACACAATTCGCGGAATCACCCATGTATATTTGGCTTATTTTCATGCATATTTGGCGTATTCTCCCTCTGTTTCTCTTACAGCTTTGGCGATTAGAAACACGACGTTCAAGCCGTCTGTGTTTCTTTCATCACTGTACGTGGATGGACTCCCTACTACGGAAAGACCGCAATGGGATCAATTTCACATAAAAAAGAAACAGTTTTTGGTCACACGTTCCTATATCCCTGGATTCCTGGTAATTTGGGAATTTAATGCTACTCAAGCGGACCCCCTTTCTGAGGTTTTTAGGGTATGGGGTAAGTATTTCTTCAATTGTTTGGGCCACGATTGAGACGTTTTTTGTGTTTTTGTTTTATTCAACCCATGGGAATATTTAAAGAAAACAAAGTCAGTGTGATCAGTAAATAATACATATTTTATTCTTTCCATAGTTTAGATAATTGATAATTTGATTCACGTCGATAAATGTGGAATGTTTTGACCTGACTATGACCCAAAATCTAACGTAAACCTAACCTAAACCCCATTTGCAACCTAAACCCCAATTGCAACCCTAACTCAACCTGTAAACCCAACCTAAACCCCAGTTGCAACCTAAACCTATATATACCTTTGACGATGGCCATCATAATTCCCATTATATCGTTTTTAAACATTTGTATTGTATTTTTTCTTAAACTCGTCGTTGATATATTTACCATGGTTTTCTGTATTTTTTTTTTGGCTGGAATTGAAATTAACTAAATCAAAATTGAATTGAAATAAATCCCGGAGCGATTGCGCCGGAGTAAACATCTGGAATCCCTTAATGGTGTAAATTCCGCTATTCATTGATATGCACAATTATATTCCTCTCTTTAGAAATCTAGCCATCGGATTGGTCAAAACTGGAGTCATGATTTTAGCCATACCCGCCTACCGGTCAATAGTCTTTTAAAAGATGCCCGCGTGCCTAATCTCCCTATTGGTTTACTTGTATAAAGTTCCTTTGTGCGCGCTCGAATACAATACAGTACATTGTGTGTGCGGTTCCCAAACAGATTGTAACGTTTAGTCATCTTTCCAGCGAAGATTAACAGACAGTGTCTTAGGATAAGGTAACAATTCTTTGTAGATTTGTTTGTCAATTAGGTATATAAAAGATATATCGACTGCATTAATACTTGAAGCCTAGCTGTTAATATACGGACTCTCGGGACGTTACATCCTGCCATGACCTCGAGGCGTGCCTGGACGGGCGGTGCCCCGAGGGCAATGTCCCCTTGAGCCGATAAAAACAGCTAGGCCTCTCATAACAGTCGATATATCTATATTATGTAACAGGTACTCCCTTTTCCCTAAATCAGGATCCAATTGTACTCACACTTCAATCGATGTAGATATAACAAAATGGTTTATTAATCCAATAAAAAAACATATTTATGATTACATGCATAATGGCATATATTGAATATCATTTCATAAACAAGGAAAACATGTATTGAGAGGGAAATAATATTCCTAAAGCGTTTGCTTAAAATATTTAGAACTTACATCAGTGTGTCCAGTATGTTATTCATTATCCAAAATAGTATATAACTCTAGTATTTTGTTCAAAACCAACTGAGCAAGTTATTTCGCAGGTTGCGATAGGCGAAGAATTGTGGTAATTAATGCTTTGACGCGGTACTCTTTTACGTATCTTATATATATCGACTGCTATTAGAGGCCTTGCTGTTTTTATAGGCTCAATGGGACGTTGCATCCTGCCATGACCCCTAGGCGTTCCCGGGGCCCGAGAGCCAGTATAGAAACAGCCAGGCCTCGAATATCAAAGCAGTTGATATATCTCTTATATTCCGAATTCACAAAAAAATCTATCAAGAATTATTTCTTTATCCTTTTCTTGAGTATAGATTGGTGAAACATAACAGAAAATCTGAAACACTGTCTTCGCTTGAAAGATGATTGAATCAGGGACTTGATAGACACCTCCCTGATTGAATGTTACAATCATTTGGGAATCACACAAATACTGCAATGTATTGTATTCGCGCTCGCTCAAAGGAACTTTAAACACGAAATCCAACGTGGATTTCAGCAGATTTTTGTATTTGACCCGCTACCCGGGATGCTTTCTAAAAAAATATTGACCGTTAGTCGGCATGGCTTAAATCACAACTCCAATTCCGACCAATCAAATGGCTACATTTCTAAAGAGGGGTATATGATTGATTATGGAGAATGGTGATAATTTTAGCATTTAATTTAATCCCTTAGATGTACGTCTGGTTAATGGAAGCCACGAAACAGAGGGAAGGGTTGAAATCCAATATAACGGAGTCTGGGGAACTATATGTGATGACTCATGGGATATCTACGATGCCAATGTTGTCTGCCGCATGCTGGGATTCCAGGGAGCTTCTGAAGCTCCAGACTCGGCTGAATTCGGAGAAGGCGCTGGTCCCATTCATCTAGATGAGGTTGATTGTGCAGGAGATGAGCAGACTATCTATGGCTGTGCACACCCTGCTTTCGGTGATCACGATTGTTCTCATTCTGAAGATGCCGGAGTAGTTTGCATTCCTTCAGCAAGTACAGGACAAGGTAAATAGTCGTAATCTGACTTATACTCAAAGTTTAACAAAAGGTAACATGTCGATTTACCAAATGTACATAATTCCGAAGGTTCTTTGCTCAATAGGTACTTAATGCTAAAGGTTCGGTTTCTCTGATGGTCCATAATTTTGTAGGTTCGTAATTCCAAAAGTGAAATAGGGTTAAGCCTCGGTCACATATGTCATTACGAACTACTACGAACGCCGTACGAACGATTTTCAGACAATGGAAATTCGGGAAGACAATGGAAAAACAGGGAGATTCGTACGAATGACCAAACACTTCGGACTTTTCCAATACAAAATGGCGAAATGTAGACCTCTACTGATAACACCATGGGGTGTTTCACAAAGATCCTAAGTTGAACTAACAATTGAATTAACAATTAAAGAAGGCCGTTAGCACCTATGGAAATATTTTTAAAGTTATTTTAAAAGACGGAAAATGTAGATCCAAATCATTTTTATTTTTTATTATCAAGGAGGTTTCATGATCTTGATTACCAAAATTTTGAAATTTCGCCTCTGAATGTATTTTTTGTTATTTTTGTAAGGCTACACATGGCTCTCCATATTTTTGAAGTCCAACTGCGAGTTAAATTCGACTTAAGATCTTTGTGAAACGCCCCCCAGCACAAAGATTTTCGAAAAATCAACCAGAGACAATTTCAACACCACAATGATATATTACGTAATCCGTATATGATTTTTTTATGGGATATACACACCAGGGTATTAAAATTGCTCTGGAGTTGTATTTTTGGGGGGAAGTCTTTGCAAGTCAGTGTATTTTCATGGTTGTAATGAATATTTTGTTTGCTTAATACCCGACAGTGGGCATACAAGCTACAGCAATGAAAGCTTTCACTCAGACTTACTACAATAACGGATTGACAACAGGGGAAACAAAGATTGCTGCCACATCAGACAACAAAACCATCATCATCGTTGCGAACGAGGATAGCACGGCATTTGAGGTAAATCACAAGGCCGTTTCCGGAGGAAGGAAGGGTGCGGGAGGTTGTCCAGGCGTCTCCTTTTCTCGTCATTTCCCCTTCTCTCGTCATTTGCCCCTCTCCTATCCACTTCTACCTCTTCCTATCCACTTCTACCTTTTCTCGCTTTTCTTTTCCCTTAATTTCTTCCTCTTTATAAAGGAGGGGGGGGGGGGTGGAGTACACATTTTCCCATTCACCTGTTACGAATAATTGTATCTCAGTAGTCGGAATGTGAGTAGGCCACTTTCGCAATGAAACCAAATGTATTCATATGCCTTTGTGAAGCACCTCGATTCGAATTATTCATTTACCTGTTACAAATAAATGTATACCAATGGTCAGAATTAAAGCCTCGGTCACAAATGCCTTTACGAACTGCTACGAACGCCGTACGAACGATTTCAGACAATAGAAATTCGGGAAGACAATGAAAAAACAGGGAGATTCGTACAAAATTATCGTTCGTACGAACCTTTGTGACCGTAGCATTAAATTGCTAACATTAGTTATTTCTAGATAAGACAAACATTATGGTATGCGTGCACTGAATTATAAATTTGGTTACATGCCGAAAAGTTACTGCATAAGAGGGATTTCGATAAGTAGGACAAAGAAAGGTTTTCCCTATACAAAAACCCGCATGTCTGCCATTTGCATACCTATTCGTAACAGGTGAATGAAATAATTCGTAGCAAGTCATTTCACGAAAATTGCCTATTGAAGAAAGTGTTGAGGTTTAGTAAAGACAGTGACGGGAGGGGGACATGTGCCCCCTTCATTGAGTGATAAAAAAAATATAGAAGAAAGAAAATGCGAGAAAATGCGAGAAAAGGGAGAGGAGGAAAATGAGAAGGGGAACGACGAACGAGAAAAGGAGACAACTAGACTACCTGCCAAACCCTCCACTAATCGGCGGACTTAGAAAAGGGCAAGTCCACTCCAACAATAACTTACTTTCAATAGAATCAGACAAATCAGATAAACCAATCAAAAAGCATGAGCAATATCAGATAACTAATAAGGAAGTTTTTAATTTTTAATGACATGAACAACTTTGGAAATCACAAGACAAAATGGCGACTTATGAGTCTGTGACGTCATCGCCTCACTATCCACTTATTGTTTTACTAATTGATAACATACATTTTCCTGAGCTAAACTGGCGCCACTAAACTCGTTTCAGTACCCCTTGAATTCACAGAATCATGTAACATTCAACTAAGTTTGGATGAAAATTGTTTTTCATCCTTTTCATCCTTTGTATACTATTTTGGAAGAATACCCCCTGAAACAAAGATTGCTCGTTCGGAAAAGGAAAACCAAAAAAATGAAGAAGAACGACAAGATTAAAAAAGAGGAAAATGATATAAAAAATAGGAGAAAAACACGGAGAAGAAGAGGAAGAACAAAAAAGGAGGTGGAGGGGGGGGGGGGGGAAGGAGGAGAATGAAGAAGAATAAAAAAAAAAGAAAGAAAGAAAGAAAGAAGGAGAAGAAGAAAGTGAGGCATATCCTCTAAAGGACAAGGTTCTTTTCTACGATACTAAAATTGTTTCTCTTTTCTCTTTGCAGATTAAGAATGTCACAGTAAGCCCAGGGAATGTAACAGATATCGATTTCTTCTCGATCGGTGTGGACTCCTATCTGGTCTTTACTCGAAATACCGATGACCCGGAAGGGGATCAATCCGTCATTTATCTCTGGAGCAACATCAGTGAGTCACTATAAATGCATGCAAACAACCAAGCATATCATTTAGCACTATTTACTTAGGCTTATGTTCAATTTCTTTGGAACGACGAATTACCCCAAGATGTTACGTGTTATGAGTGTATTATCATGAGTAATATCATGAATATTTAGGGTATCCCCATTTATATTAAAGGTAATACAAAGTTTTAGTACGGGGTCATGAATTTGGTTCAAATAAATACGTTGGACGCATATGCGGTCCTACAATATTCAGTGATCGTTGTCGCGGTTGAAATCGCGTCTAAAGTTATGAAATTGTAAATAATAAACTCTTTATGTTATATAGCGCCCTCTCAAGCCTCCCGATTTTGTCGCAATATAAAGTAAACTTAGCTTTGCATTTGTAATTTGTGTATGAAATCTCATATTTGATAAATTATCGCATCAGATTCTATGTGCGTGCGTATCATGAATATTGATGACTAGCACATGAATGCAGCGCAAGGATGGCTACTTTACGGAAAAAAGACGCATTCGGCTCATTGTTCCAATGACCTAAAGCAATGACGTCTGGTTGCTTACATACAAGCATTTATGCTTTCTTAGCAGTCAGGTAAAATAACCACCACCACCAAAATATAATAATGCTAGCAAAGGCTGAAGTTATATTGGTCCAATTTTTCAGACAAGATTTTCGGAGTGAGGCAGATGATCAGGACGTATGGTGCTCAGCAGGTTCACGCGTTTGAGATGACTGGAATATATTACCTCCTGGTTGTAGAGAGAGATGAAGAATCAAGTATCTGGAGATATAACACACGACAGAGTCAATTCACACTATTTCAAAGGTAGGTAGAAGTAGTAGTTTTTCCCGTTTGATTAAAAGCATAATATACAATACTAGTATATACATAAGTATGAATGAAACGGTTGGATAACCCATATTCAGTTGTGCCAGGTTCGACATTACTGGTCTTTCATGGGGTCAAGAGTATATTCTTGTAGTAGTGTAGATTGAGTGCACATATTATATAGGGAGAGGGGAGGGGGGGGGGGGGGGAGGGGCGACGATCTTACTCATAAAATTGCATACAAATTACATTGATCCTGAGTGTGATATATTGGAGGCAAGACAAATAATACACGTCCGACACGGATAATTTCCAGACTAGGAGTGATCTTTATTAGTGGGGTTTCACAGTGCCCCTGTAGGCTCATTACATAACTTTGTCTGGCATTGACATATACCAGTAGGTGGCGCCATTACATACATTGAGTTACATTGAACAAGATACATCACACTGTACAGGGATAATGCGGGAGGGGGACCCTTTCGTCTTTTCTTGCGTTTTTATTCTATCTTGTTTTAAAACCATAAGATTGAGGGAGGGCACGTGCTCCCATGTCCTTCCAGCATCTTCGCCATTATATGCTTGTAATAAGAATAGATTTGTTTCAAATGTGGTATTATACTCGTCCTGTGATTTACTGCTAAAATTGAACATTCATCCATGCAGGTTGCACCGTTAGCACAAGGATCTGTTGCACACTCAATAATATATACATTTACAAGCACGAACGTGTCGAATTTTAAAGATGACATTGATGTTTATCTTCAGAAAGCATTTCAGTGTAATACGTGGTGTCTAATACGGTTACTATTGTAGACAGAGAGTCTATGAGACCGACAGCCTACGAAGAGCTGAGAATAGGAAGGTCAGAGAGAACAAAAGTTCACGTTTCCGGCGTCGTGGAATGACGTAAAAATGTCGTTTTGTGGGACGTCGGGTTTGCATTGATTAAGTACTATACGGCTCATCGCATCAGTTATACAGGTTAACCGATGGGGTCCACATGTTATGTCGTCACTGTAACTTCGGCAAATTTGACTCCTGTTGACCCGTAATTTGGATGGGTGCTGAAAAAGAGGTTTTTTTAAAATTTGCTTTTGTGCAAAAATGAAAGGGTAAATACTCCTTATCCCTTAATATTTGTATTATAAATTTATTCAGTTTTCCATTAATTTTAATTTTAATTTTCTTTGGATAGGGTCTTTAAAGAGCTATTCGGCGATTTCGTGAAATGTGTTCCGTACATGGAAAATAAATTCCCTTGATATGATTTATGCTTATCGTTCTTTGTGGGATCACTCATATTATTACATAATCTTATTTAAGACATTTCCATGTTTGGATGAAATGAATTGAAGAAATCTATATGTCACACGAGACACACTGCAGGGAAACGCTCCAGAGGTGAATTTGTTTGAAAGTCTTGTCGTTGTGTTTGATGCGTTGCAGGTTAGCAGATGGCGCTGCTCGTTTTGGTCTTTACGTCAGGGAATCATACGAGCGCTACATACTGATCATTACTGCTCGGGGGAATACATCAATCTTGTATCATTGGGACGGTAAGTATCCCATTGCGTCATTTGTCTGACGTCAGACTGCGTTATTTGTCTGACGTCAGACTGCGTCATTTGTTTGACGTCAGACTGCGTTATTTTTCTGACGCATGACTGCGCCATTTGTCTGACTTCAGACTGCGTTATTTGTCTGACGTCAGACTGCGTCATTTGTTTGACGTCAGACTGCATTATTTTTCTGACGCATGACTGCGCCATTTGTTTGACCTGGACTACGTCAGCGATGGTCTTTGACGCATCTTGTGGGTTCACATTGTCCTTTTAATTGTATGCAGAAATTTAGACGGTATCATAAACCCAGCGACTTTTATCCGTTGCGTTACTAAAATGAAAATTACACAGATCGGATTGAATTATTGGCGCATGGATTAATAGCATCAAACTGGTTAATTGGCGTAGATCATAAAGTTATGTAAATGACACTTCGTAATGTAACTTATATAATCAGATGCCCAAGCTGGCAATGTAAGTCTGGTTTTTCTCCCCCCCCGCCCCCATATCCCTCTTTTAAAAAAGACCCCCTTTTAATAAAGACGCAACAGACTGTTATTTTATCTTGATCTTCAATCCAAACCTTACCCTGTGTAGCATGTCCCATATATTCAGTGAACAGATTGGTGTCCCATTCTATACGCCATTATAAGTTATTATCAAAGCCAAATGCGGAGCGTATAATAGGGAGGAGTTACTTGTTTTTGTGACTCTCCTCCACTCCATGCCTATTCCTACCTTGCGTCATCTGTTTGCCTTTTCCCTCATTTTCGTAATTCGATCGGGATGGAGGCACATGTAGTTAGCACCCGAATCGATGCCACTGTCCAAACTTCTTCCCTCGGTTTTACAGGGTTTTACTTCGACGAGGTCCAGACCATCTCCACCCCGATGGCTTTGGCTTGGTCAATAGTTCGAGATCCATCCACCTGTCAAGACAACCCGCTCCTAGCACTTTCATCTATGCTGCCAGGATCACAAGCCCTGACAATCTATAACGTCACAGACTCACAGCTCGTAGGTGGCCCTTTTCCAGGTGAGAGGGGAAGAGGGTGAGGAAGAGAGGAGGAGGAGGAGGAGGAGGAGAGATAGAGATAGAGAGAGAGAGAGAGAGAGAGGGGAGAGGGATGTGGGAAGAGCCAAGGTCGAAATTCCAGTTGATATTAGCTGAAATCAGTAACGTTTTCCTACTGGTTTGAACTGGTCTCGACTGGTACCAGTTACAAAACCAGTTTCGACCAGTTCACACCAGTAGATTCATCTAGTTTTTAACTGGTAAATGAACTGGAAATATCTACTGGTTTCAGATGTCAACTTGTTTTTCAACTAGTCCCAGTTAGTGATATTTCAATTTTCCATATTAAACACCAGTTGAATATACTGGTTTCAATTGGTACCAGTTGACTACTGGTTTTAACTGGTACCAGTTGACTACTGGTTTTAAATGCTTTTCGACCTGGGAGGGGAAGACAGAAAGAGAAAGATCGACCGGAAAGAGAGAGAGTGAGTGAGAGAGAGAGAGAGGAGGAGGGGGAGGGGGAGGGGGGGGGGGGGGGGGGGGGAGGAGGAGGAGGAGGCAAGAAATCTCCGAGCCATCTACATGGATACACAAAGTTTATTCAACGCGGTTCATAGTCGACAACATTCAGGAGCGGTTCTAAAAGATTTTTTTTTTTTTTTTTTTTTTTTTTTGCGGGACGCGCTTGGGGTTCTCTAATTTCCAAATATAAAAATGGAATTTTATTGATCAGAATCGAATTATATAGGTTTAATGCTTTTAAGGTTTCTCCTCATCACTGTAGATTATTTAAGTTAGCATCCTTTGTATTTGATGGCATGCTTAAAATCGTTTTTATTGTTTTAATACCACCTATCTATCGAAAATATTGATACGTTTAGTTACTTTGTAAATTCTGTTCATGTGCAGTTAATGTTGAAAGAAGACCCTAAAAAACAAAAACGTTATAAATAACGAAGTAATACATAAAGAATTAGGGTGTATATCCAGACTCTACTTCTCCTCTCATTTTGAAATGGTATATTGTTTACCTGAATAGTTAATGAATTCCTTTAATGATTAGTCTGTAATTAAATTCGATGTATTGTGTATGTCCTGCTATATTGAAGATATTATTTGTCATTCTGGTACATGTTTTATTTTCTTTACATATTTTTTTTCTCATACTTGAAATTTGTAAATATCAATGTATTTGTATATGTGTATTTACAATGCCTTTTCTCTGTTTGAATTGTATTAACAAAAGTAGAAATTAAATGATCTAAACTGAACTGAATTAAAGAATTATGAATCCTATTTCAACATATTTTTTATTTCTGTTTGACATCATAGATCCACTTGGTTTGCCCGACCGTGCAATTCCAGAAGGGGTGGTTGATCTCTTTCAGTTTACCGACTGGAAAGAGTCAATGTACGCAGTAATAACCTACAAGTTTCCCGATAGGAATAACAAGGAAACAATATTGCCCCTGATCTTTAAGCTTGAGAAGACCGTCCGCCCTTTACCTAGTCCATACGCCCAAGCAGTCGAAACGGCTTTACAAGATGCTGCAACTGTCGTCCGGGTAACCACCTTCATCATCCTCCTCTTTCATCTCATCTTATTCTTCTTCCTGTTCTTCCTCCTTCTCATCTTCTTTTTCATCTTCTTTTTTTCTTGTTATTGTTCTTCCTGCTCTTCTTGTTCTTCTCGTTCTTCTTGTTCTTCTCGTTCTTTTTTGTTCTTCTCCTTCTTCTTCTCCTCCTTCGCCTCTTTCTTCTCCTCCTTCGTCTCTTACTTCGTCTCCTTCTTCTTCTTCACCTTCCTCTTCATTTCCATCATCATCATCTTATTTATTATCATTATCATTAGTACGTCTTTTAAATATAAATATTGTTATCATTATCCTTTATATTGCCATCATTTTCTTCTTCTGCTTCTTATTCTGCATTATGAGTAATGTTAGTATTTATTTATTATTCTTGTTATCATTATCAATTTTAATTATAATTATCAAATTTCGCAACTTTTCTTACTCCTCTTCTAGCTATTATTGTTATATGCCTTTGCCCCATACACTCATTGCTATATGTCTCTAATTCTCCCGTTTAATCTTGTTATTACGATAGACTCAGATAGATATATACAGGGAGAAAGTAATCGATGGAGAGAAGGCTCTAAATGACAAAGCCTTCTTGAAGGATGGTAATCTTGTCTTCGGTGGCAATGTGACCTTCAATGGAACCATCACATTCAATGGCACCGTGGTTGTAGACAAGGTCATAGCTGATGGTATGTTTTCATCTCATTTGATTTGATTTGACAAGGTCATAGCTGATGGTATGTTTTTATCTCATTTGATTTGATTTGACAAGGTCATAGAGGATGGTATGTTTTCATTTGATTTGATTTGAGTTTGAAGTTTATTATCCAAACAAACGTACATCAATATAACAATCAAATGTGAATGGTTTAATAGCATTGAAAGGATAAATGGGACCATCAAATAGCATTTAACCCTAAAAAGACCGGGCTATTTGAGGTCTTGATAAGGCCGGGGGGGGGGGGATTATGGCCCCTTAACTTCTCGGCCATTAAACGGCCGATCGCCCCGAAAATTTGCACGCATGTCTGGTGAAGTGTATAGAATACTTTCGTAAATTTAATTTTTTGAAAGAATTTTTTTTTTATCATTTCCATATTTATGGTAATGTATGCTAATAAGGTCATAAAATTCACCCTTTTACCCATAATCATATATTCTTTATATTTAAGCATTCTTTTTCACTACATGTATTCCTTAGACCATTTGAAACAATGCGACAAAGAAATTGGAAGAGCTAGGTTATTCCTTATGTTATCTCTTTGATAATTTCTTATGTATTTATTGTTTTTTTCAACTTTTGTATTTCATTTTTTTGAACTACAAATTCAACTATTTTGACTCCCAAAACAAACACCTAAACTTTAAAGAAGACCCAATAAGCAATGTTTTATCTCTTTTTTTTTTTAGGAAAAATGACATTTCCATTTGTTTGTACACAAATCACGAAAATGAGCGAGTTTCGGGCTGACATGCAAAGACTGAAGGTCTCGTGACTTTGTAACCGTACCACCGATTTTCAAAAACGTTGTTTTAAAAGATGCGCAAAACTCAAAGAAAAATGTCAGCGAGCGGCGGGGAGCCATCCGTATGCATTCCCGAACAATCAGACAATCGCGGAGGGGAGGGGGGGGGGGGGCATAATGCCCCCGGCCTTAGTAGGGTTCATGCTAATCGTGTCTGGTACCACTATCACAGCAATGAATGAGCATGTAATGAATATATATGAATAACTATTGAATACATACTTAAGCTACAGAACTTTATTACATCTAGGGTAAATATGTTCTGTGATTAACTACAAAGCTTTGGTATTTTACACTAAATAAAAGAAAAAATTATATAACAGAATATTTACAAAAAGGCAAGAACCTTGGTTCAAAGTTAAAAACAATTATTTTATTAACATTTGTGATATTAGAGTTCTACGAAGACACTAGGGACTTTTAGATTTGCGTGGACTGATACGTGTGACGTCCATTCAATGCAGTTCATTAAAAGGACGTCGATCGTAGCAATCCACATTGTCTTCGTGCGAATCTAAAAGTCCGCACTGATGCTTTCTGCCGTACAGATAGGGGTAGATCGTTCCATTAGCGTGTGCCTCTGAATGACATTGAAAATTTACCCTGTGTTGTCCTTACTTTAGGCACACTCAACTTCTTACTTTCTCTTTGTCTAGTCTCATTTATTTATTTATCAAAACATTTATTAATGATACGTCATGATCAGCAAATCGGTTTTACATGATGGTTCTGATAAGGAATATGTTTTTATGTGTTTTCCCGATAACAATGTCCTCCCTTCAATGACGATTTTTTAAAAGTCATTCTTGGACCCGTTTCACAAATCATTTTTTCAATGACAAATCAGTCACAAATCTGCTGATAACCAATCAGAAGCAAGGATTTCACTAGCTTATAACAAAAACTGTCATTTGTCACTGATGACAAGTTTTGTGAAACAGGGCCTTGGGTGAACGTTTTGCCGAATTGAATTTTACTTTCAGTTTATCGAACCTTTTATTACTATTCTTTTCTTGACTATCATCATTTTTTGTTGGTTAATATCTTTATTGTATGAATATCAATATAATGTAGTAATGTTTCAAGTAAAATATAACTTGTCCAATGAACATACCTTAAGTTTACAGGCTTCTATGAAGGATAAACCCATTCAATTAATGACTCTGAATAGAGCGATCCAGTCATATTCTTGCTGCATAATTCTTATCATATTTTTACGGAAAATAAAACCAACCAGCCAACAATGTTTTGTATAGTTCATATGTTTTCCCTTGTTCTTCCAAACTGCAGATGTCATAGTGAACAACACTGTAGGTAAGTTAAATTAAAGGTAATACAAAGTTTTGGTACGGGGTCATGAATTTTGGTCAAATGAACATATTGGAAGAATATGCGATCCTACAATATTCAGTGATCGTTGTCGCAGTTGAAATCGAGTCTAAAGTAGTGAAATTATAGATAATAAACTCTTTATGTTGTATATCGCCCTCTCAAGTTCAAGATATTAATTTAGCTATAAAACAATAAAACAATAAAACACACACACACACACATATAAAACAATGTTTCTTGACTAAAATCAACCGATTAGCTATTCCCGTTTGAAAATTATCTATCACAACTACATATTATGAGATTTTCATGGTCGCAGCTACCATTGTACGGCCGTAGTCGCTATTCGAAATTTTATCAAAATTTACCGGGAGCACCGGTACATTTTTATATTCAATTTTTCTCGAAAGCAGAAGTGTTTTAGGGGCTAATTTTTCTAGTGCTTCTAATACATCACAGGGGCATCCAAATATATCCAAATTGTAAATGATCACTATCCACCCAATTTTCAAAATTACCAAAACTTTGTATTACCTTTAACTTGAACATAAAAATGAGTTTCTTTACACGATACATCTCAACCCGCTGACTCCTGAAATATCTCATTCGCATAGGCTAACACAGGGACCATCTGGTTCCAGTTGGTAATGGGCAAAAAGGGGGGGGGGGGAGGGGTGGGATGACACATTTTGGTCTCCCCCTCCTACAGAACTCTGTACCCTAAAGACCAGGGGGGGGGGGGTGTTTCACAACGATCCTAAGTTGAACTTATCTCTAAGTGGAACTTAACAATTATGGAAAGCCGTTAGAATCTTAGAAAATATTTTGTAAAATTTATTTTAACAGGCATAAAATGTTGATTTAAATCATCAAGGAGATTTCATGTAATTGATGTGGACTTTATGAAAAGTCTAAAATACTTTTTGCTTTTGAATACACTTTTTTAAAGGCTAAAAATGGCTCTTCATAGTTTTTAAATCCAACTTAGAGTTAAGTTCGACTTAGGGTCTTAAAACACCCCCAGGTCTTGCATCCTGCAGTGTAGTGAGCCAAAAAAGACGGAAGAAGAAAGTAAAAAAAGGAAGTAAAGGAAAAAGGAAAAGACGAAAAAGACGAAAGAAGAAGAAAAAGAAAAAACGAAGGAAAAAAATAGACAAAGGAGGAAAGAAATAAAAGACGAAGAAGAAAAAGAAGGAGAAAAAGAGGGAGAAGAAGGAAAATGTTATAAATCTGATATTCCTTTTACATGTGTTATTATAACCATTATTACTCTTACTATTTCTATTAATATTTTTACCATTAGGTGGTGTGGATCTTAGTGAAGTTTTTGATAAATTAGAGGACGATGCTGATGAAAACACAAGAGCTGTCCAGGCTCTAAGGCGAAAATTTGATGGTAAGTGTCATTTTTGTGTTCCTCAATTTAGGTCATTTTTTGAATACATTCAACATCTAAAGAAAAATTTGAAAAGTACATTCTGATGTTTCAATGTTTATTAATTATAATTCATAATTCTATACTTGTTCCAGAGAATTAAATAGTTTGTACATACTGCAGTCGAAATTCATTAAAACACCCGAATTTCGATACAGTTTCTAAATTGGTAAAATAATTGTCCATGCTTTAAAACTAAGTTTTCACTTCAAGCTTTTTATGTAGTACTCTTTATCAAAATAATTAATATTGTTATTATTAATATTGTTATTATTTTCACCTTCCTCATTATTGTTATTGTTACTCCGATATAATCAACTATATTCCTGGTTATAATCGTGACTAAAATTACGTCTTAAATTGGGTACTTGTTATATTTATACAGACCGTGTTACCTTGACTGGTGAACAGACAATCACAGCTCATAAAACTTTCCAGAGTTTAACGATAGAGGGAAACTTGCAAGCCAACACCATCACTGCTCCGACAATAAACGGTGTTAACATCCAGGCTCTTGAAGACTCTGTTGTCAGGTAGTCTAGCAGATTCTTGCGAGTCTAAAACTTCATGTTGTTCCTTTCACCATGAACCTAATAAGGTTCATGCTTTCACCCTTAGCCTCTACTATATTATCTTCCTCCCACTTTCTCTTTTTCTCTTTCTTATTCACTCTTTTCTTACTCTTGGTCATATTTTCTGTTTATTGGAGCATCTATTTGCCAAGTTCTTTACATAATATTCGCCTCTTGTTCTCCTCGCTCAAATATATGCATCTTTATGATATAAAGCTCAGCCTTTATTAACTGTAATAATATCTACAGCTCTACACAAATTTCATATAGGGTAAGAGATCTAGAGGGGTAAATAAACGCCTGTAATATTAAAGCCAATTCATAGATACAATCTGCGCATGGGCAGATAAAGGTCATTTGTACCAAAATGGTAAAACCCACAGAGATGAATACTGGATATGCGCTCATGAAAGTTATGTAACATTATTCATTTATGCACCAACGGTACATTCTATGATACGCAGGTGGAAGTATTCTTTTCAAGAGGACAAACAAAAGGTATTCATGAAGCACATCTAGGACTTTGGCAGTTATTATTCTAAGATGCTCAAAGTGGAACTTCTCCATGTGTAAAAGATCTGTGGATATTTAGGGTCATTTGTACCATGTGCTATCTGTAATCTCCCTTATAGACCTGTTTACTGCTGTATTACAATGTATGCATGCGTTTATTCCTTTTCCCTCACTACCAGTCATTTCGTTCATCTGCAAATAATAACTCTGTTGATAAAATCCACTCTGCATGTTTGATTTGATTCTCGGACAAAGCTTCTTATCTCTACAGGTTCCTTGCCCTTTCTTATTGTATTCTTCTTTTCTGTTCTCATAGTGATATGTACTTTGTATTGCTTTTATACAGGCGTGCTCGACACGCATTATAAATGTAGCTATTTTTTAAAACTTTTTATTAGATTATTCTTTAACCAATACAGTTGTTTTTTAATACAGCAAAATATATCACGTTCACTTTCCGTTGAATGATAAAATACAAAGCATTTATTTAGATATGCAAATACATGTTCAACGTTTCAGGCAAATTCAGGGACTGCCTCGAGAGAACCTAATGGTTTATTTGCAGTTTCCCCAATTCATTTCTATTGCTGATTAACTTTGTATAATTCCGGTTAATTTTGTAGACATGTTTCCATTTGTTTGTGTTCTGTGTTTTCTATATTGTATATAATCTGTATCTTGTATGTTTTTATGGATTTGAATTGAAATAAAACTTGAATTAAAACTTGAAATTCTACAATACTCTTTTTTTCTTTTAAAATGACAGTGTTGGTGTCGATACGTATTTCAAGTATATTCAAGGAAAGTGGAAATATAGCTAATATTACTGTTTGTCTTTTGGGTATTTCAGGAATAATGAAGATGGACAGACAATAGATGGCGCCCTCACCTTTGAGAATAGTGTGTCTGTGGATGGCGATCTCAGTATGCAGAATGGTGTCCTCGTCAACGGCTTTAATATGGCAGAGGCGGTCACTGAAACCGGGGCTCAGACTATTTCTGGTTTGTTTATTTAAAAACCCAGAATATTGCGTTTTTTTTACCCCATGACGGAAATGATGTACTTTTAATACGCAATGCTTTTGATAGAAAACTATTCCACACTATTCCAACTCAATGGAAAATTCAAAAATAGAACTGCAGTAATGTTGACTTCCAAAATTCATAATATTCTAATTTCCAATTTCCAATTTCCAAATTCCAAATTCCAAATTCCAATTTCCAAATTCAATTCAATTCCAGTTTCAGTTTCATTTCAATTATAGATTTAATTTCATTTAAATTATAGTTTCAATTTTATTTCAATTATAGTTCCATTTCATTTCAATAATAGTTTGAATTTCCTTTCAGTTACGGTTTCAATTTCATTTTAATTACAATTTTAATGTCAATTACAATTTCGATTTCAAATTCAATCAATTCAAATTCACATTTTCATTCCAAATTTTTTTAGGAGCAAAGACCTTCCAAGAAGACGTAACAATAACAGGTAATGCTGTTGTTCAGAACAGTGTTACCATAGATACGGTGGATGTTTCTGAAGAGGTTGTTACTCTCGCCGGCACTCACACACTTGGTGGTAAGTAAAGATTTAGCGGGACACAATATGCCCTTTATTCCTCATGGATACATGTATGTTCAGAATACTATACTCTTAATCACCACCAGTACAACTCTTACTTAGATGTTGGCCCTGAAATGATGAATCACCCTTTATTCAATTTTGTTTCCTTTCATACGCAGAAAGCATCACATTCAATGACGTCATGACTGTAAACAATAACATTGTGACGTCAAGTACAGTCGATGGAGTAGATGTATCTGATATGGATGCTGATACTGTGAGAGAGTCAGGAGACGTCACAATCACAGGTAAATGTTTAAATACAATCAAATCAATAATGACGTCATAAATTTGATTAATATCATTGTGACGTCAAGTACAATAAATGAACGTAGTGAGGTGAACGTATAAAATAAAATATATGAAATAACATTTTAATAACATATTTTATAAATAATATATATTGTTTTTGATTATTCTAAATATGAGATATAATTTTCATCCATTTTTATACCTTAAACAGTCTTTACAATACTTCTATTGGATATTCTACACGCAGGTCCTGTAACCTTTGAACAGAGTGTGACAGTTGATGATGACGTAACAATAGGGGGAACAGCCAATGATATCGATCTTTCCGACTTTGATGCTCGGGCAGTGAGACACGATGTGGATACAACAGTAAGTCTGACTCTTTCTCCACTCTTTTGTTAGAGAGCTTAAACAACAACATTATATTTAGTAGCGCTTTCATTTTGTGCCCGTACCAATTTTCAGTTCACATTAAATCAATCATAAATAACATTCGGTCTTGTATAGCGCGTATCACATTATTACCGTGTTTACACAGTGACTCGGTTCGGAGGTTCAACACACGAGCCGTGCTCAATACGGTTGGTCTTCCTTTTACCTACCTTTTCTCCCTTTTTTTGTCATTTTATGGAGATGATGGGGGGGGGGGGGAAGACTTGGGAACCCCATAGCTATGCCACAGTTTCATTGATTCTGCGACATGACTCACAAATGTAAATTAAAACACCGGCGATTATAAATCTATTTCTCATATCACCACTATTATGGTATTGAAGAGAAGTGACATAAAAACAGATTTGAAAGAATATTGATTTAACCTGTTAATGATTAACTTTGATCCAGTTATAGAGTACTGAAGCGCTAACGTCATATTCGCTCGTCGTTCAGGTTACTTGTTCTAATCAAAAGAACCTACGCCTCAGGTTCGCCGCGACAACATTAAAGCAAGTTCAATGTTTGGCGCTGGTGTGATCACCTCGCCATTGTTTAATGTTTGGCGCTGGTGTGATCACCTCGCCATTGTTTAGCACATTGTTTGGAACCAGCAACCTTGACAATGTGGGTTATAATATTACCAAAGTCATATTACCACGTCATATTATGACGTCAATCTTTGGTACTCTATATGATATTCTTTCATTCTCAGATAACAGGCACAAAGACATTCAGTGATGACATCACAATTGAAGGGAATCTTGATCTTGCTCAAGAGATAGATGGTGTTGAACTATTTACCGACGCTCTGTTAGCTAACTCAACCAATTCAAGCAGCATAAGAGATAGTGTACTTGAAGGTGAGTTGGATGAAGCAAATGGTCCGAATTCACAAAGGAGGTTTGTCGACAAACCGAGGTTTATGTACGTCATATGACGCGTTTTGACGCGTTTTTTACAAACCTGGTTTGAAACAAACCTCCTTTGTGAATTCGGGCCATTGAGTTCGAGCATTTGAACCTGAGTGTATAGAAATAGGCTGCTTGAAGATTATACGGGTTAAATTCAATGCATTCAGTCCGTATAAAAATAAGTACAATATTTTGGGTTAACTCAACCAATTCAATCAACATCAATAACAATTCTTAAATTATATCAGGTTAACTCAACCAATTTAACCCGTATAAAAGTAGCCAGATTAAACTTATGTCGGGTTAAATCAAGCAATTAAACCTGTTTAAAAATAATATTTTGAAGACCTGGCTACATGGCTGCCATCGTCAGTTGCTGGCGATTGGCGACCACATCTGCACATCTTCGTGTTGTCTTTCACCTTTTGTTTCTATCCTGTGCTAATCTTTTGGCGTCTGAATATGCGAGACCTGTCCATTCTTAGATGTTATCAAACCACTTCTTTCTCTGTCTGCCTCTTTTCATTTTGCCTTCTACTTGGCTTTCTATTATTTGTGTTACTAAGGAGCTCCCATTGCAGAATGTGCCCTCGGTAACCCATTTTGAGGCGGGCCACTTTTCCAAGGAGATCTCTTTCTGTATTCAGTTCTTGGAGAACACTGAGGGTAGTTCTTATGTTCTTCCAGCTGATTTTTAGCATTTTCCTCCAGAATCACATTTCTGCTGCCATGATGCGATTTTCATCGGCTTTGAGCAGTGTCTAGCTTTCAGCACCATAAAGCAAAGCACTCCAAACCAGGGTTTTGACCAATTTCATTTCCAGACAGGTTGAGATGTACGTTCTTGTCAATCAAAATTACACGCAGGTCAACCATTCTCTTCTTTGCTATAGCTATTCTGATCTTTATATCACTGGTACAGCTAGCATTACTGTTCTTTGTCGATCCAAGGTATGTGAAGGTTTCCACATCATCAACTGTTTCCCCGTCCATCTGGATGCTACAATCGGTTTCTGAGCTTTTACCAGCAACTGGGAGTTTGGTCTTCTTAACATTTAAATGCAAGTTGAGTTTCTTGCCAGCATCGTTGACTGTATGTGTGAGGTTTTCAATTCCATCCTTGGAAGATTCAATAATTGCTGTGCCATCAGCATATCTGAGATTTGAAATGGTTTTGCCACCAAATTTAATTCCTTAGTGCGCAACATCTGCTTCCCTCATCCCACTTTCTGTGTATGTGACAAAGAGGTATGGTGATAAGATACAGCCCTGTCTTGCACCTTTTCATATCTCAAACTCTTCATTCCAACGGGTTCTAGCTCTTTCGTTTACATAAATAGATTGAAGTAATGTGACAAGGTGTTTTGGGAAGCCCATATCTAAGAAGTTGGAGAATAGTTTTTTTGTGGCTCAAGGAATCAAACGCCTGTGAATAGTCTATGAACATGATAACATTTGTTGATCCATGGTAATCACCTTCTCAAGTATAATTTGCAAACACACAAGCATATCTCTGGTCCGTCTACCTTTTCTGAAGGCAGCCCTGGGGGGGGGGGGGGGGGGGGGGGGGTTGAACTTACCTCTAAGTTGGACCTAGAAATTATGGAAAGCCGTTAGCATCTTTGGAAATATTTTGTAAAAGTTATTTTAAAAGGCATAAATGTTAATTCAAATCATTTATATTTGCTATTATCGAGGAGATTTCATGTTCTTGATGTGGAATTTATGAGAAGTCTAAAACACTGGAATTTTTGCTTTTGAGTATATTTCATTTTAAGGCTACAAATGGCTCTCCATAATATTTAAGTTCAACTTCGGATCTTTGTGAAACACCTCCTGGTCAGTTATTAGATTTCATTAGATTTTGCTGGTGTAACTGAGAAGGGCAATAGTCCTTTAGTTTGAGCACAATTTTTGATCCCCAGATTTAAACAGGACAACAAATTCCTGTTTCTTCCTTTCATCTCGAAGATATGTCCGGTTAACTCAAGCAATTTAGCAAGCATCAAAAAACAATTTTGATTGAAGTATATCAGGTTTACTCAACAAATTTAACCCATATAAAAGTAGCCAGAATAAAGGGTTGTCGGGTCAACACAAGCCATTCAATCTGTATAAAAATAGTCTTATATCAGGTTTACTCAACAAAGTTAACCCGCATAGCAGTAGCCTAAATAATGGTATATCGGGTTAACTCAAACAATTCAACCAGCATCAATCACCATTTTTAATTAAAGTATATCAGGTTAAGTCAACAAATTAACCCGTTTAAAAGTAACCAGATTAAATCTACTTCGGGTAAACTCAAGCAATTCAATCTGTAAAAGAATAGCTAGATTAAACGTGTGTCGGGTTAACTCAAGCAATTAAATCAAGCAATTAAATCTGTTTAAAAATAGCCAAATTAAACGAGTGTCGGGTTAACTCAAGCAATCTTTTTTCCATTTGAATTATTTAATTTGATCTTTTCAGGTCTGCTTTACCCTTATGGAGCCGAGGCTGGGGATTTGTCCATTCGTAGAGTAGATGACGCTGCTTTCGTAGAAGTTTTCATGGAACAACCATTGCAATTCTTTGGTAGTAGAACATATAATACAATATTTGTAAGTGTTTATTTCAGTGTAAGTATTTAATTCGGTGTAAATATGACCCATATTATGAAACTGTTTCCTTCGAAGTAATATATAGTACAATTTGATACAATTTAATGTAATATTTTTGGTGTATTTCTTTTCGGATTACCATATGATACCATATGCAAGTATTAATTTTGGTGGATGCAAAATGGTAGCACTTAATACACTATTTTTGTAAGTTTATTATCGGTGAAACATGATAAAATGTACCTGTTTGTAACTATTTCTAGTTGGAGAGGAGCTACATGGATAAAACGCCTTGATAAAGGCTTGTTAAAGGTCGGTCCCCATACGTAAATAATCATATCTGACTGATACACGTCTGTAAAAACCTAATACACACACATACACACGCACACACACATAGGGGACGCATATAGGGGACGCACGGCCCGCGCATTGGAAATCGGAAAAGGTCGTGCGCCCGACCTTTGTCAGGATTTGGGAGAAAGTAGCGAGCTGACACCGAATGTGTAGCGTGTTGTTAGCGCGCTACCCGTATACAGGGCGTGTGCTCCACGTATGTCGGGCGTTGGTCTAGCGCGCCCTGCGCGGGTCAGGCGTCCTTTTGGCGTTTACATTCATGCCTCGAGCTCGGCGCACCCTTTTGATCATGCCCCAAAAATCCCGACGCACACAGCGAATGACAACGAATGCATAGCGTTAGTCCTGCGTTGGTCCAGCGCACTCGATGAACGAGTAACGAAGGTTGATGCACACCTAACGCACGACAACGCATTGGCAAAAATTGTAAATTGTCAATGCGCGGGCCGTGCGTCCCCCATGCGTCCCCTATGTGTGATCGGCCGCAAAACCGCCGCAAAAGAAGGGTCGCTGCCTTTATGTTGTTGTATATATTATTGTGAATGAAAATGGCAAAGGCACTCAACAAAGGACTAGCGCGTATTTGCTGAGCACTGAGCTCGGCGTATAACACTTTAATAGGCAATTTTCGTAATGTAACCAAATTTAATGCATAAGTCTCTGTGAAGTGCCCCAACACAAATTATTTCATTCTCCTGATAAGAATAACAATATTTCAATAGTCAGAATGCAAACTGCATATATCAAGTTTTACTAGGTAGGTCAAGCCATAATGTTTGTCCTATCTGGCAACAACTAAGGTACGTAGTTCGGATTCTATCTATTGAAACACTATTATTCTTATCAGGTGAATGAAATAAGAGGCACTTCACAAAGACTCAAGCATTAAATTTGGTTACATTACGAAAATGGCCTATTGTCATCGTAACAAACCGGCGTGGTTTAGCAACGTCATATCTGAATGACCTACTACATACTCCGAACATCATTTCTATATTCGATGGGGGTTTTGAAACTTCCTGTGTGCACATACCTCGAAAATATTAATGCGAAGGTCGAGGGTTCGAATCCCGACACGGCACTATATCCTTTGGCAAGATATTTTTCCGCACCTGCTACTCACCACCCAGGTGATAAATGGGTACCCGGTAGGATGTGACCGTCATTGTTGGGAAAACAGTTTTTTGAGCGTTAAGTAACGACTAGCTCGAATGCCCCCTAGGAAGTGGAGATTTGCACACAGTGCGTGTGGGCAAGCACTGAATCCAACGACCGGGGTAAAAGTATATCTGTAAAGCTCTTAGAGACATTGTATTAAGCGCTATATAAAAGCGGATATTATTATTATTATTATTATTATAAGATAATCTTTGAATTTTGATCAAACCAACAGGTGAACGTGAATGGCTTGCTCTCATTCACCGGTCCAGTCAGTAACTTTATTCCACGACCTTTCCCCATACCAGGAGGAAGCTATATCGCTCCTTTCTGGGCAGATATAGACGTCACAGAAGGAGGTAAGTTATGAATATACATGAGGTAGCTTATGAATATGCACGATGTACTTGAAATGAATAGGCACGATGTGATTTTGATTAATATTCAATCTTTCTATTAAGCTCTATTGCTCCATTAAAGCTTCGTTACTTCAAGAAAGCTATATCTCTTTCTTCCTAGGCAGATGTTAGATTTTCATTTTGTGCTTTTGTTTTTTTATTCGTTGTTTTATTTAATATGATTATAAGGAAAAACATTGTGTTTTATTGCAAGCCACTGGCTTTTTAATTCAATTTCACAGGCACATTAGATCTGTTTATTTCATGAAATAAAGAAATTAAATTAAATTGACTTGACTTGACTTGACATCACGTTACATCACAAAAGGGGTCGTTCATGATTATTCAAGAGGCAGATTAAGACTATTGCGCGATGTGCTCATGACGAGTATTCAATTTTTTAAAGGTTGCTATTAAACTCCACGGCTCATTTGAAGGGATGTTGCTATGCTTTATTATTTTATCCTTTATGTCGACATCATTGAAGAAAGTAGGTTATGAATATGCATAGTTTGTTTATAATGATTCAAATTTCCTTACTCCTTTTTCATGTCTTTGGCTCACTCGCAAGATTTCAGAAATAAAAGTTGACACACGAGGCCTGTCTTCACTATCTCGAGATTGCCAAATATCCAGCTATTCGAACTATCCCGATCGCAAACTATCCAGCTAATTTGCGTCTTCATCAGACAGAAGTAGCAATTAGAAGGATATTTGGTCAGGATTGTCATCCCAAGATATCTTGGGATAGTTTGCAAAATATCCTACTATTTGGCAAAATATCCAGGTATTTGTCCCGTGCGTCCTCACTAGACCGAAGATTAGCAATCCACGTTAACGCTGAGCAAAATATCTGGAGCTAATTTCTCAAGGTCGAGTTTCAAGTTTCGAGGTCGAATCTCGAGATAGTGAAGACGCGATTTGTAACTTCGGGATTACATAGCGGGCTATTTGGCAATCTCGAGATATTTGGCAATCTCGAGATGATGAAGACGCGCCTACGGACGCTATAGAGTGACGAGATAAAAATCAACATAGGGCAATTACATTTGCCTCGTTATTCACGCTTTGAAATATGCGAACATCTCAATAACATATTGCATACTCCGAACATCATTTATTTGTTCGAAAGGGTATTTGAAATTGTTATCGTATCATAAAATCATCATTTGATTATAATCGGTTGAGAGACGGCTGAAATATCCGTAAATTTAACCATTTCTAATATCTGTGGGGCCCCACAAATATTCTGATAATTTTGAACCAGCCGTTGAAAAACAAAACAGTGCTTACACTTTTCAAACGGATGTTTTCAATTAGTTGTTGATGAACATAACATGCACAACTTTATTATTAAAAATGGTTGAAACCAATACATTTTTAGAGAATACCCTCATGTGGTTACCGGATCCCTTTAATCCATTATCTTCTCTTTTCTCCTAGGTGAGATCTACTACCGTCAGATTGTGAACCCCTCTATAGATGACGTTGTCTGTGTAGAAACAAACCGCATCATTTGTAACGTATTCAGAGTCCACTTCAAAGCTAATTGGATCTTTGTGGTCACGTGGGATGCGGTGGCATACTATGGATCCACCAGTAGTATTGTAAGTACAAATTGTGTTGTGTTATAGTGGATGTGTCATGGTATAGTGGTTCATTCACTTGACTCTCAATCAAAGGGTTGAGGGTTCGAATCCCAGCCTGGCATTTATAATAATAATTAAATAATGGAATTCATAGCGTCTTTTCCAAACAAGTCTCTAATACCCCTTTCATAGTGCTTCTATCGGAGTCGCACCGATGTAAATACCGATAGAATTTTCCTTATGTAAACAAAGGTGCGACCGCCGCTTTTCCTGCAACTGTCCCTTTCATACATACCGCCGTTGAAATTCACTCGACGTGGCGAGCCCTGACCGGAAGTGAACAAATTTTCAATACGTGTGGCAAATGAAACGAACGAATGGTAGCGAAAGTTGACATGTGCAAATCCAGTGAAAAAACAACAACGTCTGCAATAAAGGAAACCCCATTGTACTTTCATTACATTCGTTAGTAATCAGTTTTAGATATTGTTTTGTTCATCATTTGGTATAATAAATATACAATTTTCAATAAATACATTATCATAACGATATATATTATTATTATTTTTTTTTACAAAGCTTATCATTAATGTAGAATACAAATAAAACGAATCAATTTAAACCCGCACCCCATCTAGACAGCATGTTTAAAAAAAATGTCAACAAACACAGCTAGTTCCGAAAAAACGCGTGTGACTGCTTGTGAGGCTGAATAATTACAATGACTCAGGTTTTTGTACGGGAGTGTCAGTTTCGTCTCCAAGGCGTTTAATCATTCGCTCTACCTTAACTCCGTGAAAACTGTACATGATTAAGCACAACAAGAATGAATAATAAGTACGTGTTCATGAATATAAGTTTCATAATATTAAAGCTGCTATAGCATTCTACTAAATCAAAGGCATTGTATGAATTCAGTGTCTAACTCCTTTTTATGTTTGCTTGTAAATCTTATATAATAAGTCAGACACTTGACAAATCTTTCTGAACTTTATGTAGAATGTCAGAGCTAACACAAAATTAAACTTACATCATCTTTATCATGTCTAAATTTGATTTAACACGATTTCAACTAATAATGTGACCATATTTAACGAGCTTGAATGACTTTATCATAGTCAAGGAACACAATAACAAAGTCATGACCTTGACCTGTCATTCACACAAATATGCTCACATTCCTCATCCATTTTCATCTTAGAATGTCTTCTTTCGCATCATACGTTTAACTTTACTATTTCTTTCAACTTTAAGCAAAACCAAAAGATCAATTATAGATGTAATGACATATTAATTGTTTAATAGATATCTCTGGTAAGGTAATTGTACTATCATATGTGTGGGTACACAGTTTACACATGTTATACATTTGCCATACAAATTACTGCTGCTACTGTGTAAGTTTCATACAATGTAAACATCTTAAAAACTACCCCTTTTACATTCATTTTCATAATGTTCAAATATGTGGTTTAACTAACCTCTGTGCCTTCATAATACTGTAGAAACAACTCTCAGGAACAAAGGATGCTCCAGAAAACCACAGATTTTCCTCACAAAACAGAAATCATGTTGCAAACATGATCATTTCTAATCAGCCAACAACAGGTGGCGCCAAACCAGTTCTTGAACTAGAAAAACTTTAAATAAGAACTGTCAAAGTAATCGTTGACCAACCTCCCTCTGTAGTTCTATTATTGCAATGTCAAGCTAAATCAATAAATACTAAACAAAATGACTTTAACTGACAAATACAAAATTACAACTTTCACAACGCGCGTACACTGCGACCTTTGACCATTTTCATCGGTGTTTTAATCGGGTGTTTTCTCCCGAACCCATTCACAGTGGCTGCTTCATCGGGGACACATCGAAAGAAAGAGAATTTCTCGTGCTCTTGAGCAGGAGAATTTAATCGCCTCTTTCTCTTTTCATCGGCTATTCTATCGGCTTTTTTCTAATATGTACCATTCATAGCACTTGGCCGTTTCATCGGATGCGTCCGGATGCATCCGATGAAAATTAGGCCAGTTTGAAAGGGGTTGTAGGACTATCAACAATTTGAGAGGAGTTGTACAGGTATTTTTTTAGTTGTTTTTCAAAGAATGTCCTTTGGCAAGATATTAGTCCCCCTGTCATCGACCCATGTGTTACCCGGTACATGGTAACTGGTGGGGGGTAATGGTTAAAGTAGTGCCTTCAGAAAGGCCAGCATGATACCCCCAACCTGACTGATATAAAAGAGAATGAGAAAGCAAAAACCAACCTTCTCTTTAAACTATGAACTCTGACCTTTAGACCAACACCTTCCAGACTGTGATAGCTAGTGATGGGAAACATGCTTATGTGATCTTCAACTATGGCGATATCAACTGGACGACAGGAACGATGAGCGGTGGATCAGCTGCAACAGGATTAGGAGGGGCTTCTCCAGCAGTAGTAAGTAGTAGTAGTAGTAGTAGTAGTAGTAGTAGTAGAAGAAGTAGTAGTAGTAGAAGTAGTAGTAGTAGCAGCAGTAGTAGTAGTAGTAGTAGTAGCAGTAGTAGTAGTAGTAGTAGTAGTAGTAGTAATAGTAGTAGTACATGTAGTAGTAGTAGTACATGTAGTAGTTGTAGTAGTAGTAGTAGTAGTAGTAGTAGTATAAGTAGTAGATGAATTTTAAACAATTTATTTTCCTTCTAAACTTGTTACTAAACATGATATGAAATAGGTTTTGGAGGTTATGTTTCTTCTTCTTCTATGTGCCATATCCTGAGACGTTGGCGACCATGGAGTGCCACAACTCTCTTTCCCATATTCTATGAAGTAATTCATTCTCCCCGAGATCAATTCCACATTCAGAAATCCCACTCCTTAAGCTACTCATCCACATAATCCTCCTTCTACCCCTACTCCTCCTCCCCTCGATTCTTCCAGTCAGTGCAAGATTTTCCAAACCATTCTTCCGTATAACATGGCCCAAGAAGCTCAGCTGTCGACCTCTTATATTATTTAGAAGCTTTCGTCTTGTTCCTGCCATGGCAAATACCTCATCATTAGAAATTCCTTCTGTCCATGAAATTCTTAGCATCCTTCTCAGGAACCAAACTTCACAACTTTCCAGTCGCTTTCTTAGGTCTGATGTCAGGGTCCAAGCTTCACATCCATACATTAGAACTGGATACACTTAGCAATTGAGTACGCGGAGTCTTGTTTTCATCTTCAGCTTCTTATTCTTTAGGATGTTTTCTAACTGGGATAAAGTTGATTTTGCAAGTGCCATCCTTCTCTTGATTTCTTGCTCGCCTCTTGCATCGTCGGTAATTGTAGTCCCGAGGTAATTAACAGAGGTTGCTTGCTTTATTTGATTGTTGTTGATCTTAAGAGAGCATGGTATTCCTCCCTTCTTTGAAATTACCATTCATTCCGTTTTCTTGTAATTTAATGATAATCCTCTCTTGTCACTTTCTCTGACTACAACATCCAAAAGTCGCTGCAGTTCCTTCTCCGATTCTGCGATTAATATAGTATCATCTGCATGCCATATGTTTGTAAATATTATGTCCTCCTACTTTCAATCTTCTTTCCTGTTCTAGGTTTCTAAGTATCAACTCACTGTAATAATTGAAGAGATCTGGAGACATGACACATCCTTGCCGAACCCCCTCTTAGTGTTGATGTAGTCACTTAATTCTGTTTCTACCCTAACACATGCTGTTTGTTCCCAATACAGATTTTGCAATAACTTGATATCCTTTGTGTCTAGTCCAATCTTGGTTAAGTCTTCAATTACTACTTTATCAAAGGCTTTTGTATAATCGATGAAACACAGGAAGACGTCTTCTTCATTTCTACGGCCCTTTCTGCTATAGACCGCAGAACAAAAACAGCATTTCTAGTTCCGGCATTTCTGACAAAACCAAACTGCACATTACTAATTTCTGGAGTTAGGTGATTCCTTGCCCTTTGAAGTAGAACTCGCAAGATGATCTTTGTGATATGGCTCATGAGGCTGATGATTCTATGTTGCCCGCATTCCACTGCTCCAGGTTTCTTGGGAAGTGTAATAAATATTGATTTGCACAGGTCATCTGGAAACTTTCCATCATCATAGATTTTATTGATGACTTCAGTTAGTTTCATGACACCATAGTTCTCCAATGCTTCGACCATCTCCATTACTACTCCATCAGGACCAGCAGCTTTGCTCCTCTTCTTCATGCTGATCGCTGACCTCACTTCTGAGAGCAGAATCCTAGGTCCTTCAATAGATCATGCACAGTGTGGAGGTTCTTTTCTTACATCATCAAAAAGCTCGCCAATGTACTCAGTCCATCTGTTCGGTATCTCTTCCTTTTCAACCAGTACTGATCCATCCCTTGTCCTAATGCATCCCGACTTGGAGCTCCGAAGTTTCTTCCCAGAAAGTTCATTTACCTTCTTAAAAACCCTGGGATCGTTTGCATTAAAACTTCTCTCTATCTCGGCGCACTGTTTGTTCAGCCATTCCTCTTTAGCTTTTGTGCAGTGGTCGTGAATTTCTCTGTCCAACTCTCTGTATTGACTTCCATCTCTGTCCTTGATCTTCTGCCTTTTACTCATCTTTGCTAGAATCTCCTCCGTCATCTATCTCTGTTTACTTTTCTTTTCATTTTTAGGTAATGTCTTTTCACCTGTTTCTACAAGAATGTCCCTCATTGATTCCCAAGTGACCTCCTCTCCCTGGTCGGTGAGACTATCGAATCTGTTTTGTACTTTGACAGTATATCGGAGGCGAACATCACGATTCTGTAGCTGTTCGAAATCTACCTTCTGGATTAACTTGGCTTTTGTCATCTTCTTTAGCCTACATTGCAGAGTTGCCACAACAGGAATGTGATCACTCCTACAGTCTGCACCCGGATATGTTTTAGCTTGTTTTACACCTCTTTTAAACCGTTCATTTATTGTGATGTAGTCAATGTGATTTCTTACACGATCCCCGGGGCTTTTCCAAGTATATATCCTTCTTGGATGTTCCTTGAACCATGTATTGAAAATGACCATTCATTTGGCCTTGCACCACTCTATCCATCTAGTACCCCTTTCATTTCAATCTCCAATACCATATGACCCTACTGCTCTACCATATCTGCCTCTTCCCATCTTGGCGTTCATGTCTCCTATGGCAATTACAATTTCATTCGATTTACATTATGATTTGGCTATCTATAATTGCTCGTAAAAAATGTCAATATCTTCCTCTGTGCTTTCTGCTGTGGGTGCATAAACCACTATTATTGCCATGTTGAAAGGTTTCCCTTGTAATTTGACCAACAAGACTCTGTTGCTGACTGCCCAAAAGCCCAGAGCACAGTTAGCTGTGAATGGATCCAGAAGCACCCCTACATCTCTTTCATGTCTTATCCCTCCTGAATAGATCATCTTATGTTTTTCAACTGTGAATTCTCCACTGCCAGTCCATCTTGTTTCACTAATGCCTAGAATATTAATTCTCATCCTGTTCATTTCTTGCATGACGTTGTCCAATTTACCTTTCTGGTAGAGGTTATGTTATCTATTTAAAAATCTGAAAAACGAGCTTGTCGGCGCGGATATATATTTTTATTTTATTTATTTTTCTTCCTGCAAGGTTGGTATAAATGCTGGTGAAGGTGACCTTTGCTACACAATTCCAAGCTCATTCACTGCAGACATTGTCAACATTGAAGAGACGAGTAATATAGCTGTCCCAGGGAGATACCTATTTGAAGTAGGAGTTCATAATGTTGATAACTTCTTGGGTAAGAATGACTATTACATAAACTTCTGCCATGACCCAGTTCGTAGATACTATCAGCCCCTGCGCAAATAAAGGTCATTCGTACAAAACTGTAGTGCCCATCAAGACGACCACGACGGATGGATACGTGTTCATGAACAATGCCAGTGTAATCAATAGGGTGCTTTCGCAAACACGACGGAAGGCATAGACGACGGTAACGCGAGCGAAAAAACAATCTGCGCATGCGCGAACCAGAATTTTCTCCGTCCTGTTGATTTTCGCGACAGTACGCGGCCATGATAGCGTTCGTTCCCTAAACACGACGGTTCAATCTGAGATGCATGGCCCTGTATCGCCGTAATTTCCCCTCCGTCTTTGCTTTCGTCGTTATATCGCCGGTATATGTATGATACATAGGTGGAAGTATTCTTCTCAAGAGGGCAAACAAACTGTATGACTTTGGTAGCGGTATTAAAATACAAGTGTGACTTCCCCATGGTCAAAGACCGTATCCGAACTGAAAAATGAAATGGATGAATTATATATCAACAGAAAGCATAATTGTTACGTATTGGACACAAAATCACCAACACCATGGGCTTGCTCTGGTATAACAATCCTGGAATAACATTTCATTATTTATTTGGCATTTCAAATATCATATTAAGAATCGCATAGAAATGAGTAAACGAAAATGGCAATGTGTTTTGTAGAAATTGGTGCACCCGATCAGTTGGCCTGGGAAATAATAGGTCAACCAAAATACCATGGCCTACAGGCCTTCATACAAATGATAACGCTTAGATGAGTATGACGAAACAGATTCTGGTCCATAAATTACTTTGATTGTTATTTTATGTTTTCTTTATCAGGACAAGTTATTACAGGCTCAAAGACTTTTACCGACGAGTTGAAAGTAGCTGGATCTGTGACTGTAAATGGATTGATCGATGGAGTCAATTTAGATGACGTGGTTACGCTTTCACGTGAGTAAGGCGAAACTGATTCTGGCACAGTCGACCGACAATATTTTTCTTTAATGATAATAATATGGATATTTATATAGTGCCGGTATCCGCCATGTTCTGACGCTCATGGCGCTTCACACATATTACCCTGGTTGTAGCCAAGCTGCCAAAGTAACTAGAGCTCAAGCATATCAGGTACCCATTTACACCAAGGTGTAAAGTGACAAAATTAATGTAGATTAACGTCTTGCCAAAGGACGTTAGTGCCGCGGCGGGACTTGAACCCCGTACCTTGTGATCTGCAGTCAGGTGACTTATCAACTAGAGTACGGCACCTCTTTGTGAGCTTTTTTCAATTGCAACGAGTCAAATCCATCGCCATGGGGTGTCCACCGTTCATGCACATAATAAAAACCCAGCAATGTGATATTCGATCCACGACTATATTCCCTGTCCACACACAACATTTTCCGTGATTAGGCGTGATTAGCTATACCGTTTCGCGATAGTGATACCGTTTCGCGATAGTTTTACGATGAAATTGTGTGTGTGGACCCTCACTAACGATACGTCGTATAACGAAACTAGTCTAACGAAACGCAGGTTTGGGCATCGTTTCGAACTAGAACTCAATAAAGAATCACGCCTAATCACGGAAAATGTTGTGTGTGGACAGGGGAAGTGTAACTAGTGTAACTAACTGGGCGGGGCTTAACGTGACCTCGAGCGAAAGGAGACCAGACCTCTCATTTCCGCTTCCATTTCATGACCGCAGTAGCAAACTGCGCACCTATACGAAATTTCGCTGTAGAGTTTCAGGATTACTTTCTTCTGTGTGTGGACATCATGGAATTTATACGATGATTATTTATACGACGTTTCGTTATAGAGTTTAAATTGTTTTGTTTGTAGACACGCTGATAGTCTACATAAATGTATTTAGATCGATATCTACCAAATGGACAGCAAAATGAACTACAGATGGTGGAACTAGGTAATTTATCATAAAAATAATTCCGGCGATATCGCGATCTAAGAATTTGATGTCGGGCCGTGAACCATGTGGTTCACAATTAGCCACGGATCCACTAGATTAAAACACCTCTTCCGTGATTTCTATACGGTCGGGTAGATATAGTGTCAATGCAAGTAGCAACCAGAAAAAATAAAGCCCAACATATAGTGTCATTGCAAGTAGCAACCAGAAAAAGTAAAGCCCAACATGAGCTGCTGTCCGAGAAATGAAAATATTTCCATATAAAACCTAACCCAAACCGGAGTGTTGGCTCAGTCAGTAGAGCGTCGGCCTCACAACCGGGAGGTCGTGGATTCGATCCCCGGCCGCGTCATGCCAAAAGACGTTAAAAGATCGGAGTAACTGCTACCTTGTTTGGCGTTCAACAATAAGGGATAGAGCAACGTCGATCTGGCGCTGCTTTTGGCTGCCGGGCTTACGATCAATTGGGTAAAAAGAATTTTAATTTCGGTTTAATAAAATTTGGAGTGGACTAAAAGATTATTATTATTATTATTATATAACTTGAAACTTTCCGTCACCTTCCAATGCATAGGTGGCTGTACCATAGAGGCAGACAAGACCTTTGCTGATGGCGTCAGGGTACAGGGTGACCTTCATACATCCGGTACTGTGGATGGTGTCGATGTGTCTCTTATTGCTGTTCAAGTCATGACGCTCAATAGAAACCAACGAGTAGAAGGTAGGGGTCTGAACCTTATTGAGGTCATGACGCTCAATAGAAACCAACGAGTAGAAGGTAGGGGTCTGAACCTTATTGAGGTCATGACGCTCAATAGAAACCAACGAGTAGAAGGTAGGGGTCTGAACCTTATTGAGGTCATGACGCTCAATAGAAACCAACGAGTAGAAGGTAGGGGTCTGAACCTTATTGAGGTCATGACGCTCAATAGAAACCAACGAGTAGAAGGTAGGGGTCTGAACCTTATTGGGGTCATGACGCTCAATATAAACCAACAAGTAGATGGTAGGGGTCTGAACCTTATTGAGGTCATGACGCTCAATAAAACCAACGAGTAGAAGGTAGGGGTCTGAACCTTATTGAGGTCATGACGCTCAATAGAAACCAACGAGTAGAACGTAGAGGTCTGAACCTTATTGAGGGTGTATCATCATGGGAGGGAGGGTGGGCCACCTGTCCATTTTTTTAGTTGGTGGCTTAAATTCAAATTAACAAGGCCGCTGATGGAGAGGATTTAAGAGGGGGCGTGGCGTCTTTTCCCCACCCTTTCTAATTGCTCACCTCTTTATTGTAGGGATGCGCCCCCTGGCAAACCCCCCGTGCCCCTGTAGTTAAATGTATGCCAGTTTACTCTATTTGTTTTGAAAGGATCGACTCTTTTACTACCAAGGCCGCTCGTAAGGCTCGTTTATAGTGGACTAACATCTTTAACTAATCATGAGAAAGGTTACGCTTATGGCTCGTACAGTGAATTCGGATTGGCTTATTGTCTTATATACGCAATCAAATGCGTATTCATATATCTAAATTTCTTTACAGGTGACGTGACATTTGAGAGTGACGTCAAAGTGGAGAGAAATGTCGTAGTTGATGGGACGGTCAATGGTGTCGATATACGCGAAATGGAAGCAGATGCTGTCTATGCTGATGATGATCAAGGTCCGTGGTTTCCTCTACCTCTCAACTCATAGCCTGCCATAAGGCTGCATGCACGCTATTGTTAAGGTGCCATGTACACGCTAGGAAGCTATTGTTCCTCTGCTTCTTGCATGATTGCACGCATATGTAATAGCAGTTATTGTTCATGCCCATTTGACTGTGCCTAGTATTTTGCACGCGCTATTGATAGTACCATCGCGTTAATCCGATAATCTCGTTATAAACTTGGCACTGCAGGGATTTGGGGCTCGGCACTGCAGGGATTAACCCGGTGGCAGAATAATAGTTAACTATTAGCAAGAAGTAACTCTGTGAAAGCTATATGAATTATTGCTTTTCTAGTTCTCAACGGAATTTGAACCTTTATTCCACTGTAAATCAATAAATTAGCATATATCTAAAAGTCATATTTATCAGGTAAAAAAATTAAACCAATACAACCAGGGGAGGAGTTATATATGTATGGTTTCCCTATTCTTTTCTTCTTCTAAAGTTGCTCTAAAAATAGCGGTGATCAAAATAATTAATTGAAGATGGGCGATGAAGAAAGCCTAAGCTAAATTGAACATGTTATAGTGATGGAGGTTGTAGTGAAATGGTAGTGGAAGCTTTTTTGTTGTTGTACTATCTATAGTGGCGGTATGATTGTTAAAGAAATTTTTAGTATCACTAAAATTACATTTTGTTTATCCCTTTGTTTCTTCTAACAGAAACCGTGATTACAGCGCCAAAGACATTCTCTGCCCCATTCAGTGTAGGAACTGGAGGCAGCGTCACATTTACAGGCACAGTCAACACACATGATCTGGAGACTGATTTCATGGACCTTACCTCTGCACAGTCTGTTACAGGTAAAACCCACGGCATCTTCTTCTTCTTTTTTGCTTGGCTTCCTCCAGTTTAGAGAACTGCAGTTGGTGCAGGTGTTGGTAGTACACATATACAAAGGATAGGCAGGTTTACAGCGACATCACATACATGTAGTGGAACATTAACGTGGAGGTCAAGTCAAGTATGAAACTGAGCTGAGAGAGATTGTGAAAGAGTGAGGGGTTGATCCAGTCGGAAAGAGAGGTGTGAGAGCAGGAGCCAAGTAACGACAGTTGTGTGAAGCATTCGTTTTCGTATTACAATAATGGCTCTCCCAGCGTCTTGGCCAGTGAGCGATAAAGTTGTCTCTGAGCTTAGTGTAGAGAGGGCACTCACTCACCACGTGGATGATAGTCTCAGCAGTTTCTGGGCATCGTTTCACAGAGAACGTCATGGTCTAAATACACCAGCTTCAATATAATGTCGGCGAACTTGTTCTTAGGACGGACTCGCGAAACGATACCCAGAGCTCTGACGTATAAAGACTTGCGATTGATACGGATTGATTGGAAACAACCGCCAATCAATTGCAACTGTTTGTAAGACGGGGGAATCGCTCCGTTTTACCAAAAGATCCGGTGAATTTCATTATAGGATGCGAAAGCTAATGTGGTTAGATTAGCAAGTGTGGGTTGTAAAAAAAGACGCCTTGGCAAGACAATGCTATACAAAGTAGCTTCCCCATATGTCAGTCAATCAAGGAACGGGCTATCAAGTAAGAAAGCATGAAAGAGGAGAACAATTTTCGCAGTTAAAGAAAACGTTAATCTATACATGTTTTATTCCAACACAATAATACACGATATCTCACATATCATAACTTGTTACTTCTTCCATAAGGATTATACAAATTTCGACATAACTAATTTGCTCAATACCTTTACAGGCCCAAATTCAGTGACATCGGAAGGCGATCTTTCATACTGTCTTTCACGTATCCATCTTTGGTAGTTTCTGAATGCCACCTACCATGCTTCTTAAACAGTTTTATCGGGGACGCCAAAATTCGTGGCCGCTGTAGCTCCGTCGCTTCGAAGACTATGCATGCCACAACTTTTGAGGTTCAGACCTAATGATGTTAGAGCATCACGCTACAATTCTAAAGATCTAGTGCATGATAACTGTCCATCTCTTAACTTTCAAGTCCTCTGGACTTAACGTAATTAACGGGCCTAAAACAAAATTTTTCATCAGAAACATTATCCAACCCTGCAGTAGACAAGTACTTCGAAAAGCTAAACTGGACAGATGGGAATTATTTTCACCTTTGAGAACCCAGGCTCCTAGTCTGTATATATCAGTTTTGCTTTTCATAATGAAATTTTCACATGAGAGACATACATACATCTAGGTCACACCTACGGATACTAATCAGTTCATCAAAACGTAGAAAACCAGCATATTACACAAGCGAATATCCATTAAACTAGTAAATGAACCATATTTATCCACAACAGTCTTCAAGATTTCTGGTGTGATAGGTTCATTCTTAACAATGGGTTTAAAAAGCAACTTCTCCGAACCTTGCAGTACAATATGTAAAAACTTACGATCACATGCATGGGCATCAGATTTATCAGCGAGTCTGATCAACTTCTTTCTCTTCTTGATATCAGCGATACCCTCCTTAAGCTTTGAAAGGACAAACACCTGTTTACCTTATTCCAAAAAGGCCACTCCCTTTTCCAGCTCCTCCTGCAAATTGAAGTTAAATTTCCTCTGAACCTTGTTTCCCTCGAAACGAAATAACGATTATTTTATACAAATAAAAATTACGCATGTAGGTGACGATCTGAATAATTGTTATACAGCGCCTTTTTGGCACTACGTAGCTTCCTCCTCCCCCTTCCAAGCCACCATCCACTCAAGCTCCCTGCTTATGATGGTTGCTTTACTGCATTTACTCATTTTGTAATAATATATTTCAATCTTGTCACATTTATATATAATGATTGTATAACTGTTTTAATTTCACTGTGTTGTTACTTTAATTTTTTCCGTAAAATGTTCTTTATATATTTGATTTTGACTTTGATAATAAATGCAGAAATATATCTGCCTTATATAGGCCTTGATAGTTAACAACTATTATTTAAAGAGTATATAATGGGTATACTCGCCCTTACAACAATTACAATTTTGTTTTTGTTTTTTAAAGACGAGGCAAGTCTTTTTTCAGATAAATAAATGAATATTTAAATGACATGGATAAGGGTTGACTTGACATTTAAAATTTGATTTCATATTGCAGGTACAAAGACCTTTACATCCGGGTTTACTGCATCGTCTGATATGACTGTTGGTGGGACAGTAGATGGGGTAACAATGAATACCCTCTGGGCTCAAGCAGCCCTGATCACGGAGTCTGAAACCCTTGCAGGTACCAAGGTAAGGACATGATTAGTTAAAGGGGAAGTCCATCCTGATATCAAGTTGGTTTAAAAAGAAAATAATAAGAAAATTATAGTTTTATGAAATGTTTGTACAGAGGAAATTGGCGAGGATCTCAAAATATACGTCACAGTGTTGCCAATTTTTGTTTCACCTATAGCAACTTTCAAATTTTATAACTTTCTTATTTTTAATCGGATTTAAAAAAAAAGTACAATCAGGAGTGGCCTTGCTTGGCAAGGGGGAAGGGGATTCGCTCATCTCCCCTAGAAAGAACAGGAAAGAAGGAGTTTTTTAAAAATAAATTCACGACTTCTAGGATTTGTTGCTGTTGGTATTGCACTGACACTGGCTCTGCTTCGATAATCTACAAGTATGTAGTATGTTGGTGTATTGCTTAGGCCTAAATATCTACATTTATCATTTCTGTTTTTGAAATTATGATTTTAATTATTGTTATTGTTAGAATCATTATCACATTATCATTATTTTAATGATTATTCTGGTTATTACTAGCTGGCTTGTTATTGTTATTACCATTATAATTATCGCCATTATTATTATTGTTATCATTATTATATCTCTATCTCGATTAATTAATTCTAGAGCTTTGCTGGAACGATGTCTGTGACAGGGGATCTCACCGTAGGGGGCGATGTGAATACTGTCGATCTATCCTCTGACGTCATGATGGTTAATGTCGATCAGGTTGTGACAGGTCAGAGCCATTAAAGACGCATAGTAGCGGCCTGTCATGGGGAATTCAATACCATTTAGGTGTTTACCCGATGACAGGTGTTGTCAACACCAGGATGAGCCTTCAGTTTTATGACCAATACACCTTCAGTAATGCTGTGCATTTTTCACCCATCTCCCATTTTGTTTCTACATCTCCCTTACCCAAAGACTCTCTGAGAGACTAGGAGGTATTTCTTGATGGGACCGCGGGTTTGCTGTGTGAAAGAATTGTACATACATTAATTGTATTTCCACCAAGTCTGGTGCTGGCGAAATATGAACTTCTGCATATGGAAAATGACGACCAGCTCCATTTAATGTATTAGTAGGGACCAACTTGTATCGGTCTAAAATGAGTAGTATAGTCTGCAAATCTCTACCTTACTTTGAGGTATCTAGGTGAAGCTCCGTTAGGGCTATCAGCTGGATCTGATATTAGATGTGGTCTGGTAACGTAGGGAACGAAATGGCTTGAACCTGCCCATAAGGCCGTTAAAAGTCTTATATTCCCTTAAAAATGTATATTTCATATGTTAGATAACCTGCTTGTAGTCTGTTTATAGCAACAGAAAGAATATAGTGTGTACTTTATGAGAAGGAAAAAATGTTTGTTGTTATTATCCCACCCAGGAGCGAAAACATTCGCTTGCTTTGTGGCGACTGGTAACCTGCAGGCCGTAGATGGCGCCATTACAGATCTAAACGGAGAGGATTGGACGGCTTTCGTTGACGGGAGAGCAACGCTCTCAACTGATCAGGTTTTTAGGCTTCTTTGTCGTTATTAATAGACTTGATTAGCAACAATCGATACCAGTGGCAGATCCCAGTGAAGAGAGTGGGGGGGGGGGGGGGGGGGGGGAGATAGAATATAGGGGAAAGGTAGGGCTGAATGCCCTCCTTTTGCTTGTAATAGAATTGCTTTTGCTTGTGGAGTCCCCCCCCCCCCCCCTCCGAAAATCCTGCACCGCATGCATGTTCCCAAAATCTCTGGCTCGTAAAAAAGAAGAAGAAGACCTGCCCGTATTGACTTTACACACACTGACTTTTGCTGAAAGAGGGGGGGGGGGGGGGGGGGGGGGGTGCTGGGAACACGCATATGCGTACCTTAAATAACACTGAGTGGGGGGGGGGGGGCCGAAAATGCTGTATACATTGGGCATTGCAAACATATTAGATTGAATGAAGGGGTAACCTAATCTAGTACACGTCTACTTGATTCATTTAATTTGAATATAATAATGGGGTACAGTATACTTTTACTACTATGCTTCAAAGCAAACATTGTCCATTTCATACAAAAATGAAAAGTGATATTTTAATAATAGCACTGTGCCTTGGAGAGAAGAGGAGATAAACCGAGAGGGAGTAAAGGTAGAGGGGTGGGTAGACGTGGAAGGGAAGAGAATGATAGAGGTATTGAATGTATTTATTGATAAAATAACATATAGAGTAAGAGACAAAGATTAAGAGAGAAAGAGAAAAAATGGGAGACGAAGCCAAACCAAGATAAGGGAGAGACAGACAGAGAAAGAGAGTGCGAGAGAGAAGGACATAGAAGGACATAGAAGAGAGAGGGAGAGGGAGAGAAAGGGGAGGAAGAGGACGACAGAGGAGAGAGAGGGAGAGAGGAAGAGCGAGACGGAGAGAGAGGGAGATATAAAATCGGTCGGAGGAGAAGTGATAGCAAAAAAAAAATGATTTGTCATCTTCTCTAATCTTTTTCTTTTCTTTGATGTTCCTAGACGATCAGTGGTGATGTGATATTTGCCGATGAAGTAACAGTGAACGGAAACATTGCTACCACCAGTCGAGTCAACGGAATCGACCTTCCCACTCTGTCTCGATCAATACTGTATAAGACGGGTTCACAGATTATAACTGGAGCAAAGACCTTTACAGGTATTTACAGGTTATAATAATAACGATAATATCAATAGTAATACTAATAAGGATAACAATGATAACAATAACACTTATAATAATTATTATAATGAATAACTATGAAGAGGAGGAGTAGAAGGAGATTATGTTGTTATACAGCGCTTGATACATCAACTGTGTACCTAAGCGCTTAAAATGTGTTTAACCCCTGTCATCGGATTCACACAGTGTATACACATTTCCCACTCCCTGTGGAATATTCCAGAAAGGCGCTATTGTACAGACGTTTACAATGCTGATCAAACTAAAATGGCTTTCACACCGTACCCAGTACCTTTAATACCCGGAGGGAGATTGGAAAATGTGGATTTATGTCTTGCTAAAAGACGTTAGTACCAGGCTATTGAGATTGGAGTGATGTTCAAGTGAATGAACTAGTATACCACGACACCTGGGCCCCGTCTTACAAAGAGTTTATATAAATCGCAACTATTTTCATAAGAGATAAGAGACTAATATTTTGCGATTGATTCGGATCAATCACAACTCTTTGTAAGACGGGAGGAGTCGTGGTATAGTGGTTCATTCACCTAACTCCCAACCCTAGGGTTGAGGGTTCGAATTTTGTTTCTGCTGCACAAACTATTGCAAGACATTGATCTTTCTACAGGTTCTGTAGAATTCGATGGCGCTGCCTTGATTACTGGGACACTAGATGGAGTTAATATTCGAGAAATGGTAGGCCGTGCTATCGACCTCAACGACGGTACCCAAGTAATCTCAGCTAAGAAGGTACGAATGTCATAATTTCTTGCACCGGGGAGGAGTGGTGGGAGGGGGAGTTGCCCCAATTTTTAAAATGAAGTGAGCAAAAACATACACCAAAAGTATGATATGTTTCTTCCAAATATGCACTTTCAAAGATTATTTCATGGCTAAAACATTAATCACAATAACCCTATAACTGGTGTGAGTACTTTCAAATGCATGCTAGCCGACCATATACCTCGTTTCAGAAAATCATGGATGGAATATTAAATTCCCTCTTACAGAGCAATGTTAAAGAGAGTAATGTTTAAAACCTTTCATGCCATTTTTTGTACCTACACTATACGTTAACTTAAGCATGATCGCAGATGCTTTAAACAATTTAGCTCAAGGAAAATCTCAATACCTATTTCATTGCTTATATACATCATGTCCAGATTATGAAATATCGCGTCATATTCGCACATTTTAAAAATTGATGTGTTGCTATTCTATTAACCTTAAAGCCATACTGTTTTAGAGGCAATCTGTTAATTCCCCGCTGTACCAATTTCGGGTCACCTGTAGCAGTGTGGTCCTGTAACTCGCTGCTTCTCTAGCTGCACTGTCGAGTCCTTTGATTGCGAAGTAGAAATTTGGTATCGGGGTATGCACTGATGGCAAGTTGAGCTTTAGATGACGTTGTGCGATTATCAGTACGCTAGGGCAGAAAGTCCACCAGTTCAGTATCGCTTTAAGTTGATCTATTTTGTGTGTTTGAGATAGTGTTATGTATTCCATTTCAGACTTTCACCAATGCTCTTACTGTGTCCAATGACATCACGGTATCCGGAGACGTAAATGGTATAAACCTTGCGGATCTGAACAACGACATCGTATGGACGAATGCTGGTTCACAAACTATTACCGGAAAGAAGGTAATTTTTACTTACAAGTATTTCAGGCTTCAGCAATTTATTTAGTAATGTCCATATGGGAATAACTGTACCGCTGTGTGGTGAAATTACAGATAAGAGTTTAAACAATGAAACCAAAAAAAGAGAGAAATACAGTGCCCATAAACTCGGTGTAACCACAGTGCGACCATATATGGATTACTCTGCGATACTTTTAAAACACTTTACAATGTCTCTGATACTTTTCGTTTGTAATATGAGGCTTACACTTTGTCGCATAGTGTTAAATGAGTGTGTGAAACTCTCTGTGGTATTCGATACACATGATCACAGTGTGTACAAACTCTCTGTGGTATTCGATACACATAATCACAGTGTGTACAGACTCTCTCTGGTATTCGATACACATGATCACAGTGTGTACAAACTCTCTGTGGTATTCGATAGACATGATCACAGTGTGTAACAGTGTCTCATGTAGTGTTGTATAGTTATTAACACGGTTGTATACACCGCTTCACTATGAACTTCACTGTGGTGATATTTTGATACATAGACATTGATTCTCTATGCAGTGTGTCGCAGTGTGTTGTGCAATCATATGTGTGACAACAATATTTTCGATCTGTCAAAGAAAATATAGGCTTATACAATAAGATCGTTTATACGCTTGCTTTCAGTCACATATAAATTCAAACATACAGATGAAAATGAATCTAACTGAACTGAGTCTTTTTTGCTTGCACATCTATATTTGCCTTTGTTTTCTTTCCATTGGTAGGTATTCAACGATGGCTTCCATGCGTCTCAGAGCACTACTGTGAGCGGTACAGTCAATGATGTGGACATCAGTGAAGACGTCCTCACCTTAACGCGTGCTCAAACGATCACAGGTAAGCACATGTATGTCGTCTATGGTTCTACGTTTGTTATTAGGGACTTTTAGATTCTGCACGATGAGAACGTGGACTCCCATTTTAAGGCAATGTGACGTCACTGCCAGTGCCTTAAAAGGACGTCACGTTGCCTTAAAAGGGCAGTCCACGTTCTCGTCGTGCAGAATCTAAAAGTCCCTATTTAGTACTCATTATTACCTGTACATGGGAGGGGGAAAAAGGAAGCTTTAACCCTAGATCTCCTCCTGGTATGACTGACCGCGATCTTCAAATGGACCAAGAAACCGGAGTTTCCTCTAGCTCTTTCGTGTTCCGTTTTACAGGATCATACACGTTTAACGCCGATGTGGACATTGATGAGATCATTCAGTCCTCTACCGACTCCTTTATGAAACGAATACTAAATGTATTCCTTTCTTCGAGAAGGTGCTGAGTTTAGTGGTTCATTCACTTGACGTTCAGTCCCAGGGTCGAGGGTTCGAATCTCAGCGCCGCATTAACGTCCTTTAGCAAGACATAAATTCACATTTGCCACTTCCCAAACCAGGTGTAAATGGGAACCTGGTAATCTTGCGACGATCATCATACGACGATGGAAACCGCCCTAAAATCCAACAACACTAACAAGCTTGAGTAATAAGGATTGCAGAGCCATCATGAAGAACAGCACTGAAGCTGGTAAAGCTTCCCTGGGTAAACGAATTGCAGTCAAACCTGCTTTAGTGACCACCTGTCTACAAAGACCACCTGTCTACAAAGGCCACATTTGTTGTTTCTCATTGAATATAGTTTCTCATTGAATCATGTACTAAAGGAACCTGTCTACAAAGACCACCTGCCTACAAATGCCACTTTTTGTGTTTTCCTTGGGCGGTCGCTATAGACAGGTTTGACTGAATTAGTATTAATGATTATTACTTTCTTCCTCAATGCTTCAGGATCCTACACGTTTGATGCGGATGTGGACATTGATGGAACCTTGACAGTAAGTGGAGTCATTAATAACGTCGACATCCAAGCACTCGATGCAGATGCCATGAAGATAGATGAAGTTCAGACTGTGACATCGTCCATCGTATTTGAAAATGGTAGGTTCTCAAGCTCTTATTAGGGACTTTTAGATTCTGCACGACGAGAACGTGGACTGCCCTTTTAAGGCAATGTGACGTCCTTTTAAGGCACTGGCAGTGACGTCACATTGCCTTCAAAGGGCAGTCCGCGTTCTCGTCGGGCAGAATGTAAAAGTCCCTATTAGCCCTATATCGAAATACATCTTCTTTTCATTGTTCCCAACATTAGTCTGCAAAGTTCCAACGTCCCATCTGTCCTACATCACATTGATTGGTAATAGTTTCTTATCTCATTGTGCAGATAGAATTAAATTTTTAAACTACAACCCCGTTTGCAAAAGGCCATTTCGTAATGTAATCACATTTCATGCACATATCTTTCTTGAGTGCTATGTTGCAAATTGTTCCATGCACCTGTTACGAATAATTGTATTTTAATAGTTGGAATGCAAATTGCATATATTACGTGTTAGGTAGGACAAAGCCATCGTGTTTGTCCTACGTGCTTAGCAACAATTGATGTCTGCAATATGCACTCTGAATGATGAGTGGAATGAACCACGGACTGTTACAGTCGACTTATGTCCTACGTAATCTGGCATGCCAGACCAGGGTTTCGATCCATATAGCGAATAAAGACATTTCTTTATGTTTCTTCTTCAGATGTTTCAGTGACGGGTGACATCACGGTGGATTCATTAGAGACTGTCGACACTGTTGACCTGTCCGAACTGCAGACCATCGCAAAGTTCGTTGACGTGCCATTTACCCTTCCCAACGCTGTGATCTTCGAACTGCCTGTGACCTTTGACGACGCCCTTCGTGTCACGGGAACAGTGCATGGCTATAATCTGCAAACCTGGGCGCCGACGGTTCTAACCGTTGACGGGACACAGACAGTAACTGGAGACCATACGATTGAAGGAACTTTGACGGCGAATGATATAAGTGTTCCAGGGACTATTCGAGCCGTTACTGCATACGGGATTAATGTGGATGGCTTTGTAGCGGATGCTGTGATGCTTCAGGGAGATAGAACTATCACTGGTATGGAACATGTTTTAAACTTGGCATCTAATGTCGAAGCTGAATTTCAGCTCATTAAGAGTAGAGCTATACAAACAAATTAGACTGAGCTTTCAGTATTCCCCATTTTTTCAAGTCCCGGTTCGTTAGTTGGTCGATTGACTTACGTTTTGATTGGGTAGTTCGTTGATTATTTTTTTGGATTGATGGGAATGCCTACTTTAGAAAATGGAAAATGTAAGTCACGCAAAATATCGGTAAAGATATGAAACTGCAGGAAACTTCAGTATCTAATATTTGGTCACCTGTTTAAATGTATGAACATAAAAGTGCCAAATCATATCATACAAATATGATTGCTGTAATTTATACGACAAGGTATTTAAATTTCCTTGTCGTATGTTATAGGATTTCCTTAGAATCTTTCCAGTCGGGTTATATTCCTGTAACTTAATTGAACCGACAATAATAAAGACGATGTTTCTTATTCCGTTTTGTCCATTCATTTTCCATCTTTTTTTGCCATCTATAGGCTCTAAGACATTCCTGGATGACGTCACTGTAGAAGGCAGTATTACAGTGGCTGGTACAGTAGACGGCGTGGATATATCTGCAGAAATCGTCACTTTAGATGGTAATAATAGCAAACCGTAAAGTGGAGCAATAATATTAATGCTAATAATAAAAAGAAGAATATCATATACAAATATACCAATCGGTGAGAAAGTAAAGTAGAAATTATTAATCTGAGGAGGGACTGGCATAATATCTTCTTTATAACTAATTCGACGAACCGAATAGCTACCTGCTGATCTGGATCGAGTAAGATTATGAGCAGTCCGTATAAGGACTCACTCGGCAGGTCGTCTGCGCGTTCGGATTTGACACACATTATTTTTCAATGAACAGTGAGCATGCGTAGGAGTGCATTGGAAAAAAAATAGAGCATGCGCAGTTCTCCACAGGAAAAAAATAGTGAAAGTTATTTGGAGCTCTGGCAGAGATTTGTTTTTCTTAGTGTAATTATATTGTATCACGTGAGCACAAATTGACCAATCATGTATTTAGAATACTCATGAATATTCATAGAAGGGATATATCAAATCAACCTCCAATTTACTTCGTATTCTATTGTACTGATACCTGAACCAGTAAGGAGTATGAAGAAAAAAGATGACATTACATCCCAGCCCACAGAACCTACAGAGCATTTGGGATGAGTGCACGTAAGGATGCGTTGTGTTATTATACTCGCGAGCTGTTCTTACATTTCATTTGAGACGGTATTTAAACTCGCAAATTGTCTTTACAGATACATTCGAATCCCATATTTCAATATAGTATCCCGGTATATAACCCCTCCTCCAAATCCCACCTTTAAAATCTTTCAAAGTGAGTCCATGATGATACCAAATCCTTACTTTCATTTTCTTGAATTATCGCAATCTATATAGGTGCGCAAACTATTTCTGGAGCTAAGACATTTGATACGTGTGATTTACAAACAGCTGGAAACATCCTAATATCAGGTGAGTTTCCCCATATCATTTTTATTGAGTAAGACTGGAGAAATCGTCAGTATACATGTTAATGTGTTTATATATCTGTCTATAACATTCGTATTTTCCCCTTTTATTTTGAAGAGCGTCGTCACTAAAGGTGTACTAAATTAACATAAAAAGAAAGATCACCAGCTCTTACAGTAGTCACCCGAAGAATCAAGAGTGTTTTGAATTGATGCAAAATTCATATCATTGCGAAGGGGAAGCCTTATGGTCAAATGTAACAACTTCCCTCTTCAAAACATGTTTGGTCCCCGCAGTAATCATCTCTGAAATATGTAAAATTTTGAGATCCAGATTTTCTGCCTTCAGCTGTCCTCCGTAGAGCGTCAACATTCATGACGTCATATGCAAAACACAGCTAGCCACATCATTGCCGGCATTTTACGCTTTTCCATGATTTCTACATGATCTCTCGGCAAATTATTCGTGTTTTACAAGAGAAAATCTTTCTATCCATATATAATTTGTCCATAATTATTAGTTGTACTAGAGTTTTCTTCCGGTGAATACTATAAAGACAGCATTTATGTGTGTTGCCTGAGCGGTTTCTGTACTTGTATCATGAGTATATGTATGTTATTGTATGATTATTGTATGATATTCTTTGCAGGAACCGTCAACGACATTGAAATCTCTCAAGAAGAAGCCGACACACTGGACTTCCGCAGTCCCAAGAAGGTGGAAGGCCACAAGTCCTTCACTCGGGACGCCTCGGTAGCCGGCAACATGCAGTTCAATGGTTTGGTGGATGGCAAGGACATTACACGGGGTCTAACGCTAAATACAGAACAGACCGTGACGGCGTATTATGTGTTTGAGCAGAAGACGAGTGTGACAGGTGACGTCACCGTAACAGGTAACGCAATACGCATTTTATAGGGCAACTCTAAGCTATTTCCCCCCATACGTTAACCCTCTAAGATTACGGTTTATCCGGGTAGTGTTTCACACAATCCTCGTAAACACAAATTGCCCGTCAAGCCATTGGAACACCTGTATTCTTTTTAACATGCGTTTTAGTGCGATGGCGGTGAACTATTAATTACGCTTTCGTGATACGATGCGCTGATAGTCCAACTGGAGCTTGAATCAGACGGAACATCAAATGAAATCATATGTCAATGTATGTTCACGCTGGCATAATACAATTCAAAATACTTGATGGGTGTGGGCGCGCTTGCGTGTGAATCTGTGTGTTTGGAATTGGGGAAAATAGGTGCAGGATTTTAGGAAAATGGGTGCAGTAGTCGGTGAGGATGCACGCGTCCTTTATGGTTTAAAGCATATCTGCACATCTTTAGCCTGGAGGGATTAAACCTCCCTGCATGGTCACTGACAGGTGGTTATCTCATCAAATCAGCTCTCAATTAACATAAGAAAAAGGGGACCATGGGGGACCAACGGTCACCACTTAGACACCGTTTGCAATATAGAGGGCGCAAGTAGCTATAAGTAGTGCAGTTGGGCTTTAATAATGTTTTATAATACCAATGAATGGTCCCATTCAATTCTTTCAAGGTCTGGTGAACACTGTCAATCTGGCCAATATCAACACCAAGAGGATCAATCTGGCCGGAACCAACACGGTGGATGCAAGTCTAACATTCAACGACATGGTCATACTGGAAGACAACGTCACCACTGCTTACCTCTTTGATGGGGTCGATCTGTCGAAACTAGGTGCGCTAGAAGATTCGCGGTCCGATGAATTTGAGAATGATCTGTACGAACTGGCATGTTTTGCAGAAACACAGTGTGAACGCACCGAGTCTATTGTTGGAGTAGTCAACAGTGAGTTATCGATGAATTTTCTATTTTCGTACCAAAACGAAACATGTGTGAGGGTTATTTGTATACAGTCTAGGTATAATTTACATAGAAACGCTTTTATTTTGATAAATAACATTTCTAGTCTATGATATTACGGATGGATCTATTCAGGGGATCTCGGAAATGAACTTGTTTTCCATCTTGCAATTCCTACGAGACTTTATTTGAAGAAAAAAATAAATCCTAATATGAGGTTCTGTTTGGCAAATCTAAGAATAATGACGAAATAGGAATTCCTACAGGAGAATTTTATTCTGAGAGGAAAACAAATACAGGCCATGAAGAGAGGTCGTCTTTTAATAATTATGAAAGGTATTTTTAAAGTTTCAGTACTAGTTGAAGAACATAGAATCCTTGGAGATGTTTCCCTTGTACCAATTTTGTACCAACAAAACGCTTCTTCACCTAATCCCAAATCTTGATCATCACCGAGCATTACCTTTAATAGGTTCCTAACATTCTACTTAATCTATTATATGAATTGAGAATCATTGAGACGTGCTCATTTATACTACATGTATTGAATCATTTTTGTTTTATATGTATGTTTATATTTTTTGTAAATTGTGGAACAAACTTGAAACTTGAAGTACCGGCAACGTGACTAGCTTTCATTCTTTTGAGACTATGTTTTCTTTTGTCAGATTTTATCGATGCGATTGATTACGTTGAGAATGTTCAAATCATTGGCCAGCACGTGAGGCGATTTGAGCCCTTCTCTGTGGACGGACACACGTTTATGGCTGCTGCCATCTACGCTGACGAACATGGTGATGTCTGTACTGACAGTATTATCTACCAATTTAACACGACTACTGGGAATTTCCAAGAATTCCGTAAGTGATGTCAATAATTATATTTGTTTTTGGAGTCAGCTTTTGCTAGATATCAAAGCGCTTAACATTATTGTCTGTCTTTTCAACACAAAACATCGGGAAGATTCAAGAATAGTATATTTATCTGTAAAGCGCTTTGGGAGAGCCTGCGGTCCTGAAAAACGCTATATAAAAAACGAGCTATTATCATTATTATTATATTAAGAATTCAATAAGTTAAGACAACGATTACATCTTTTCGCGAGAAATCAAAGCGCTGAATACTGCGAATCTCCAAGAAGTCTGTAAGTAAGTGATGATGATAACAATATCGATATAAATAACATCATCAACAACAACAATGCACCTGTCTTTTGACTGACCACCCACACGCTATCTAATGGGAGTGATTTTGTTTTAAGTTTTTGACTCTATCTTCCACACCTCCAGAACGTGTGCCGACCAATGGCGCAGTAGCATGGGAGCATTTCCTCATTGATGGTGATATATGCCTCGTGGTAGCTAACGCCGGGCATACTGCTTGCGAAGGTAAGTAGACATGCTGGTCAGATTACTATATACTGGTTGATTCAATGCTCATTTGTTAGAATAATAAGCCGTGGTATATTAAATTTCTTCAATCTTTATTTATTTTTTATCAAAGGATAAAACATTATAAGAACATGTACAAAATTATGAATGTATACGTTATACAAACAAAGGTCCAATGGAAAACAAGATTCTAGTATGTAAATAAAATGGAGGTGCTTCGATTTATCAAGAAATATCTTGTTGCGCATAAATCGGAATGGGATATACCAACAGTCTTTTAATGATTATGGACATCAAGTATATTGTGAGTTTGGGGATAACTCAGATGGTGATGTTGACGTTCATAAGGATGGTGATGGTGCTCAGATGTTGATGATGTCGATGATGATATTGATGGCGACGATCATGATGTTGTTAACGGTGTCGATGATGTGTCGGTGAGTGGTTCTTAAAGGGGTCGTTTAACAATGTTAAATCTGAGATGCAGGGCCCTACTTGTTATCAGTGTCTGTCATATGGTGTTATATTGAAGCCCTAAACAAAATTGCGCTTCAAAATAATCAAAAAGTGCTTAAAAAAAGTAAAAACCTTTGAGTGACCGGTTGTTACCATACTCGTTTTCCCCAGTAGACTGTAGTTTTATGAAAACCGTTTGGCAAACGCCAAATTTGATTTTGATTTTCAATCATAAATATCTTCATAATCAGACTGGCGATCGGCTTGTAAAAGTCATTGGGTTCCTGACGCACCTAAAGGTTTATAATTATCATTGCAGCATGAGCTAAATCAAGGATTTTTTAAAGGATCTAAGACAAAGTTACCGGATCCCTTTAAGATGTGTTATTATTTATGATACTGTCATGCTGCCATACTCTCATTTGCTGATGATTACGACGAAGATGACGACGACGAACGTAATAGATTCGGACCATTGCCCTTTCCCTCCCTTTCGAATTTCATTCCACTATAGAATCAAGGCCTGTCATATTTGGCAACAACATCTATCGCTACGAGAATGGGCGTTTTACAATGACCAGCTCCACTGGAGACGATATGGAAGCTACTTCAGACGTTGCAACGTTCGTTATTGATGGAGATAACTTCTTGGTGTTCACCACTTACGAGGGCGACCTTGCTAACGTCTACAAATACAACGAAATCTCTGGAAACTTCCAAGTCTTTCAGGATATTACCACAGGAGGTATTCTTTTTCTTTCAGTGAAAGATTGTATCAAATCATTTATAAATAAAACAATCAGTTCAAAGAATTGGATTTGGTGTTATGTGAGGAAAGAACGAACATGGCCATTTGTATTTTGTTCTTAAATTTATCTTCAATTCAACAGATTAGTTGTGTCTAGTATAAATACCCTGATCCTGCTCTTCGTCATTAAAACGTTTGATCGTGTTCTTAAAAAGTATTACAGACTGTTTGTTTAAATGCCGTAGAGAATAGAAATGAAAATAAAATGGTAAAGTTAGAGAGTTTGTTTTTCACCTGGGAAACAAAAAAAGAAAATGCATTTGTATTCAAAAGTATTTCACGGCTTAGAATATACTTTACATTGGACCTCTCATTCTGTCAATATTCATATAAATTCCTTTATACAAAATTTAGTTATAACCTGTCGGATTTCTTGTACTTCCCTAAACCATATAGAGTGTAATGACAATCTATAACGAAAATAAACATTTTGAATTTACTGGTAGTCATGGAATCAAAATGCGAAAAAATATATCGTGATGAATTGCTTGGGTGAATCCATTAATGGGCAGCTCGATGGTTGTTTATTCTTTCTCTTTCCTTCTTTTTATCTCAAATAATCCCCTTTCGTTTTCTTTATCCTTTGTTCCTGTTATGTTCCTTAGTCACGTCTTCCGTAGAAAGTATTCACTTCGATGAGAAGGTATTCCTTATCTTCACTTTATATCTGGAGGAGGAGTCGGCTGTGTACTGCTACAATGCAACTGCGAAGGTAATAAGCTAAATTTAACCTAAGTACACCTTCACATGAAATTCATTCTTAACTTAAGGAGCCAATTATACAGCGCAATTAATGAGAAGAGACATCGGTCTGAGTCGACTACAGACATTACCAGAACCTAAGTGTTAGAGCACGGAGCTGCATAAACCCCGCACGTACACTTCATAGCCTATTCTAGTTCTGGACCCTTGTATTGATTTTTTTTTATTCGCCGAATATAAGCTTGACGCTTATAGTCGGCGAATTAAAAAACAAAACAATAAAAGGGTCCAGAACTAGACTATTCATAGCCAAGCAGACAACACGAAGTGACGCTAAACCTTAAAGACCCTATCCGATGAAAATGCAAGTTAATATAAATGGAAAACTGAATGAATGTAAAATACAAATATAAAGGAATAACAAGTATTAAACCTTTCATTAATGCACAAAAGCAATTAAAAACTCACTTCTTCACCCCTCCAAATTACGGGTCAACGGGTGTCAAATTTGCAGAAGTTACAACTGCATACGGAATTTTACTTGAGATCCAAGCCCCCAGGAAACATGGATAAATCAAGTAACCTTAAAGCTTATCTGCCTTAGTTTACAGGAGGGATTAGACCGCTCTGCAAAGTCACTAGACAGGTGGTTATCTCATCAACTCAGCTCTCAGTTAACATAAGAAAAAGAGCATCATGGGGGACCAATGGTCACCGATTAGGCATTGTTTATTATATAGAGGGCGCAAGTAGCTACCAGTAGTGCAGTGGGCTTTTAATATATCGTGAATCTTTGCAATCGTGTGTTGACGGGGGTTAGCTTTTTCATTTGTTTGGCAGGAATTTCAATTATTCCAGAAGGTAGCATCTGAGCATGCGCGGGTGGTGACTAGTTTCAACTACCAGGGCACACAAGGATTCGCACTGGCTGATCACATCAGTGTCAGCGACGTCGATGCCTCTTTCGAAGTCCAAGTTAGGGTAAGAACTTCTGTTTTAAATGAGAGAGAGAGAGAGAGAGATTAGGGGGGGGGGTGGGTGGAAAGAGATAAAGAGAGAGGAAGTGCAAGAGAGAGAGAGAGAGAGAGGGATAGGAGTGTTTATGTGTGTCTGAGAGAGTGAGCGTGCGAGATAGCGAGAGTGAATGTGTGTGCATGAGGGGGGGGGGGGGGGAGAAGAGAGAGAGAAATGTTATTAAAAAAAAAATTGTCTTCGAAACTGGAGCAAGTCAAAGGCGACGTTTTTCCGAACGGCAGCGACGGTGCCAACAGTTTAAACATCACTTCCATTTTTACTTAGTTTCAAAATAGTGTGTGATAAATGCCGAGGTCATAAGCTCAACATGCTTTATCATTACGCTAAAGTTCTCAAAAATCATGTCTGTCTAATTCACATTCATTATGCATTCACCGTATAACTTAATTTTTTTCGTTCTCTATGCATGTACTCTATTGTATCAATTTCCGTGTGTATATTAATTTCCAACAGAACACTTCATTTAAACAGTTATGACAACAAAAATAAAGGAAATCAATGTAGTTTAATATGTATATTTTGCAAATCAATAATCGAATTACAAAAAGAAAATGTATGCATTTTCTGTAAAGTTATGTTTGCTTTTGGTGAAGGAAACACTGTGGAAAAAGATAATGTGGAAATCAATTTAATCACATCAAGTCGAAATCAAAGGTCTATTAAATTTCATATGATCAATCATGCTGCAAAAAAAAAAAAAGATTACTGTAAAACCGGAAACTTTCGCGTGTACGAAACTTTCGTGAATTTCTCGAGAGTTAAATGCCGCGAAAGTTTTTGGTAATACGATGCATTGAATGCCTGTACAATACAACTATACAAGACTATATTAATACAAGTTAGTTGACCCTTGTATGGTATAATGTTTTTCATGGCTGGCAATTCGATCGCGACATTTTCATGTCATGAAAAAAGGCCTTCGGCTCCAATTCACAAAAGTGACAGGTCACGATAAGTTCTTGTTTTTACCATAATGTTGCTTTCTTTATTTGTCTGTTATTGTGTATCTAGGTGTATACGTGGAATGCTGAAGATGGTCGTTTTGAGATGACATGGACGCTAGCTGTGGTCGCGCCCGGGGATGTAGACATATTTACCGAAGGGAATTTTTTGTACATGTGTGTGGTACAAGAATATCACTCGGTCGATTTATTCAGATACGAAGGTACGCTCTAAAGTATTTGACTCAACAAACAAACCCAAACAAATTATTTGGAAAAAAAGAAACGAAGTATCTGAATCTAGCTATGATTCCTCTTCAGATTATCAACTCACATACTCTCCTCTATTCGCTACAAAGACTCGTTCAGTCATAGCACCTTGACCGATAGAAACCAATGGCGCGATGGCTCAGTGGTAGAGCAGTGGTCTCGAGACCGGGAGGTCCCGGGTTCGAAACCAAGCCGAAGCGCTAGTGTCCGTTGGTAAGGCATTAATCCTAATAACCAGATCCCTCGAAGAGGACTTAAAGCCGTCGGTCCCCTGGGTGCTTAATTACAAGCACACACATGCATTCTTAGCATTCAGGTAAAACAAACAAACAAATCAATCCCTTGCACTGCCCTTATTCGTTCATTTCGTTGGAAATTATTTCTCAATCACACACACTCGCACTCGCACTCTCTCCAAAGACAATTTCTTGCAACTGTTTACAATTAATGAACCCTGACTAAAACCACAAAAATCAAATGTTTTGTACTTTAGGTTCAGCTGGATTTGTGAAGTTCTACGAGATCCCCCACCACGGTGTACGGTCTGTGGAGATCCTCACCTTACAGGAAGAGGAGTACCGTACCGTCGATGACATCGACTATGAACAGCTCTTAATAGCCGTAGCCGTGGATCCCTTTCCGAAGCATGACATCTTCTCACGTCTACTCAAAATCGTCAACCTAGGTAGGATTTGCAATCTTTTTTTCTTCTCCAAAGAACAATGATATTCAATCATTCTTGAGCGAGAACAAAACAATAGATTTGAAGAAAGTACATGTTGTGACATATGGTAAAACAAACATTGTTACATCAGTTGTACATGTCTCCATTTATCAAGTAATACAACGAATTTATTGCGTTTGAGAAAGAACCCGCTCAACTTCATGACAACGTTGAATCATCTTCTTAAAAGAATTCAAAGACAGCCGTTCCCTTTTGTATTTCGCAGAGAATATATAGTATTTTGTAATCTTGTAGGGCAATTCTAAGCTATTCTGTCACATACGTTACCATCTACATCTATGCTTCAGTATATCTGACGATAGCCCTTCAACAGCTCGATTCAGCAAAGATTAAAATGAAATGATATCGGAATATCAGTATATGTTCAAAATTTCATAACAGAATTTGAAAATATATGGTACTGTTAGTCATGGTAACAATGTGGGCATACTATAATTTGTCATTCTTAAAGGTACTAAGGTCCATTTGCAGGCCAAAAAATGAAGAGGTTAAATTCCAACGGCTTTTAAATGATAATTTAGAACTTCCCTCAAAAGGAAAGGGCTTGAACATGTAGGGTAGGCCTTGCCGTGAAACTTTCTCTATTTTACTGCCATCGTGTATTTTATTCGGTTAACATCGTCATAAGAATAGGGACTTTTAGATTCTGCACGACGAGAACGTGGACTGCCCTTTTAAGGCAATGTGACGTCCTTTTAAGGCACTGGCAGTGACGTCACATTGCCTTAAAAGGGCAGTCCGCGTTCTCGTCGTGCAGAATCTAAAAGTCCCTTATGTAAATGACAGTGTTTCGAAAGTCTATATTTACATTTGTCATTATGATACTCCAATCCGATCCAGGAGAATGTAGAGCGTCAATCAGCCCTTTCGGATAATATAGCATTTGTACAAATGACCCCACAATTGTATCCACATTTCTTTTACCACGTGGAGACGTCCCACTTTGTGTATTTTAGAAAAGTCACCGCCGAAGTGATGGAGGTGTTTCATAAATACCTTATGTTTGCCCTCTTGACGAGAATACTTCAATCCGTGTATCAAAGAACGAACCGCCGCACAGTGGGCCAGGGAGGAACCAAAGTGCGCCAAAACTAAGTTTGGGTGATTTTTTTTTTTCAATTTTTTTCTTGCCCAGTTGAAAGGTAATACATAGAGGAATACCTCAGTGAAATATTTAATTCCGTTATGCACAATAAGGGTATAAATTTACTACTTCAAACAGCAAAATCCTACATATTCACAGTTTTAGTGTAAAAGTGACTTATTTTATAAATCTTTCAATTCAACATGAAGTTTTTAAGTTATTGATATGAAATTGCTCTCACATATTCCTGATAGTTCATTTCGTTGAATGAATGGGTTAAAATTAATAGAAACACAATCTTCATGATATATTATAGGGTAATTCACTGAAAAATGGACTAATTATCCATGTTTTTTATAAATCCAGAAGAAATGTTTAGATCTCCGCAGTGTACCGCTTAAATTTTAATACCACCATTTCCTCTGATGTCTAAGCTTTAAGTTGATACCAAATTTGGCTGCCCGATCTTGCCAGTTGTTATGTTAGAGCCGATTTCCCTTGCCACATTGCCCCGAAAAATGTGGGTTTTGGGGGTCCGCGGCTGAATCATGAAGGATTCGTGGTCATAAATCACGGCGCGAGGGGGCGCGTGACACTTATTCTGACACCGCGGACCGAAATAAACACATTTTCGGGGCAATGTTGCAAGGAAAACGGCTCTAACATAATAACGGGCAGAATCGGGCAGCCAAATCTGGTATCAACTTAAAGCTTAGACATCAGAGAAAATGTTGGTAATAAAATTTTAGCGAAAATCCCTGGAAGTCCAAACATTTCCTCTGGATTTATAAAAAATAAATCCCCAAACATGAGTTTTGGCGCACTTTGGTTCCTCCCTGGCCCACTGTGCGCCGCTCCATAAATGATTAATGATTATGTATCCAGCAGTCGTCTCGATAGGCTGTACAATTGTGTATGAATGATCTTTATCTGCTCATGTGATGTTAGCAAATCGGAAGTGGCTCATATATAGTTGGCTAATCAATGGTGCTGGTGAAACAGGAAAGTTACAGTCAATGTTGTCCATGATGAAAGCGATCAACGTTCACCTTTCAACCTTTTTTTTATCTTCAAAGAAAATGTTTATTCAATCATTCTTGAGCAAGATTTGAACAAAGTACATGTTGAGACATATGGTAAAACAAACATTATTAATACATTATTAATACATCAGTGCACATGTCTCCATTTATCAAGTAATACAACGAATTTATTGCGTTTGAGAAAGAACCCGGTCAACTTCATAACAACGTTGAATCATCTTCTTAAAAGAATTCAAAGACAGCCGTTCCCTTTTGTATTTCGCAGAGAATATAAAGTGTTTTGTAATCTTGTAGGGTAAGTCTAAGCTATTCTGTCACATACGTTACCTTCCACATCTATGACTTCAGTATATCTGACGATAGCCCTTCAACAGCTCGATCCAGCGAAGATTAAAATGAAATGATATCGCAATATCAGTACATGTTCAGAATTTTATAACAGAATTTGAAAATATATGGTACTGTTAGTCATAATAACAATGTGGGCATACTATAATTTGTCATTCTTAAAGGTACTATGGTCCATTTGCAGGCCACAAAATGAAAAAGGTTAAATTCCAACGGCATTTAACAGATAATTTAGAACTTCCTTCAAAACGAAAGGGCTTGAAAATGTAGGGTAGGCCTAGACGTGAAATTTTCTCTATTTTCCTGCCACCGTGTATTTTATTCGGTTAACATCGGCATAAGAATAGGGACTTTTAGATTCTGCACGAACAGAACGTGGACTGCCCTTTTAAAGCAACGTGACGTCCTTTTAAGGCACTGACAGTGACGTCAAATTGCCTTAAAAGGGCAGTCCGCGTTCTCGTCGTGCAGAAGCTAAAAGTCCCTTATGTGAATGACAGTGTTTCGAAAGTCTCCATTTACATCTTTCATTATGATACTCCAATCCGAACCAGGAGATTGTAGAGCGTCAACAAGCCATTTCGGATAAAGCATTTGTACAAATGACCCCACAATTGTATCCACAGGTCTTTTACCACGTGGAGACGTCCCACTTTGTGTATTTTAGAAAAGTCACCGCCGAAGTGATGGAGGTGTTTCATAAATACCTTATGTTTGCCCTCTTGACGAGAATACTTCAATCTGTGTATCAAAAACGAACCGCCGCTCCATAAATGATTAATGATTATGTATCCAGCAGTAGTCTTGATTGGTTGTACAATTTTGTACGAATGATCTTTATCTGCTCATGTGATGTTAGTAAATCGGAAGTGGCTCATATATATATATATATATATAGTTGGCTAAACAATGGTGCTGGTGAGTGGTGAAACAAGAAAGTTACAGTCAATAGAGACTTTTAGATTCTGCACGACGAGAACGTGGACTGCCCTTTAAAGGCAATGTGGCGTCATTTTAAGGCACTGGCAGTGACGTCACATCGCCTTAAAAGGGCAGTCCACGTTCTCGGCGTGCATAATCTAAAAGTCCCTAATATTGTCCATGATGAAAGCGATCAATTGTCACCTTTCACAATTTTTTTTCCGAATAAAATGTTTATTCAATCATACCTAAGCAAGAACAAAACAATAGATTTGAACAAAGTTCATGTGTGACATATCGGTAAAAGAGAAATTGTTACATCAGTTGCACATGTCTCCCTTTATACCTTTAAACTTTCACTTTTCATTTCTCTTCCTTGTTGACAGGTGGATCGGTGCATGTGGCGACATGGGAGAACATGTGTGACAGTGGGCTCAAAGACACTACACTAATTGATACACCGGAACCTACCTGCTAGAGCACAGGATTGATACACCAGAACCTACTTGCTAGAGCACAGGATTGATACACCAGAACCTACTTGCTAGAGCACAGTATTGATACACCAGAGACATTATACTAGCACCCGGCTGATATACACAAAGCCCGACATGATGGAGCACCCGAGTGATACACAAGAGCGAACCTTCGAGAGCACCGGATTTGTACACCAGAACCAAATTGCCAAACCACCGCATTGATTTACCATACCGACTAGATAGAGGACAGGATTGATATACACTAAGCCCAACATGATATAGCACCCGAGATATACACCAGAACAAACCTGCTTAAAGCACCGGATTGATACAATATAGCGATATGATAGAGCACTGGATTGATACACCTGAACTAACATGATGAAGCATTGGATTGATACACTAGAATCAACATGCTGGAGCACTCAATTGATACACCAAACCCACCTGCTGTTGCACTCAATTACACCAGAACATGCTTGATAGATCACATGGCACACCATATCAAGCCCTGTATCTCATGTTATATACACCATAGTCATAATAAAAAACAGACCTATCTCAGGAAAACTTTCCTATTTTTCCACCCAGGGTAAATGTTGTGATTTTAACGTTTATAATTTACTCTCGGGTTTGTGATACAGAAAATAATGGACAGTCAAACTTTGACTTATTTATGAGAGATGTGGATATACGCATATCAGATTCGAACTTTATTTGAGATTGTTATTAAGGATACAAATATGTTGTATCCAGTTATTTTAGTTTTTATGTTATTCTTTGGTATTTATTTTCAGTGGCTTCTCGTATGCAGCACCAAGTCACTCTAAAACAATAAATTAATGAATAAAGACAATGTGATGTCATACAAACAAACGTGTGCTGTTGCTTTTGATAGTTGTGATTCAGTTTCCTTCATTTAATTTGAAGACTTTTTTTTCATTTCGTAATGAGCCATTATTTAAAAGCGCTATTGATTTATATTACCGACAAAACTCGCGGTAAGTCACTACCCTCTAAAATGTAATATTGTATCATAGTGTTATATCAGTCTTCATATGCCCCCAAAATAATCTCAACATGCCACATGGTATTTATCATGAGATAGATATATATCACTGGATTCAAGATTATTATACTTGACACTATGAATATGACTGACAAAGAAAGCGGACAAAATATACAGTTCCTCAGGTAGACAAAGGAACATCCCTTCACTGCTATTATGTAAAAATTTGTAGAACAGGTGAATATGCATGTGACACATTTTGACATAATAGCAGTGAAGGGATGATCCTTTGTCTACCTGAGGAACTGTATATTTTGTCCGCTTTCTTTGTCAGTCATATTCATAGTGTGAGTCAAGCGAGTGTAGACACATCTGAACAAAAAACTGTTTGAAATAGGCATTTCGCATCAAGCAATCCTATCAATTAGTTAGTCCCTATTGTTTTGTGCCAATCTGCACGTATGACAAACGAGCTACCGTGCCGCACTTGGGTAACTAAATAAAGAAAAGAAAGTAAATAAATAAAATACTTAATGGAGCCCGCGGCAAAAATCGTAGACCGCAGCGATATTTTTTATAAATCTTTGTTTGGCACATTGTTTGTCGGATTATTCTCCCTGTAGAAATCGATCTCGCATGTGAGGAATTGTTTTTTTTTCCAGAGGAATTTGGGTTGATGCCCCTTCCCCCACTCACCTCCACCCCCCACACACACACAAACTCAACCGCCAGATAATCCAAGCTTAGATTTTAAAAAAAAAATCAAAGGAAAGTAAATATTAATTGAGGTGAATGCCTTTTAAAACTGACAGAGAGATCTGCCAGGCGGCGAGGCAAATATTTACTCAGAGAAAACAATTACATTTGCCCAAAACTTGAAATGGAGTCGTTTGTGAAAATCTGCTTGGAAAGGAGCTCCCGAAAACACGAAAGGGAATTGTGAAAAGTGATATGCAAATAATATTGTATGTATTATCTACAATCCCTGGAAATGAGTCGACCGTTATAATCGCCTGACGATAAACAGCTAGTCAGGCAAAATTATCTATACGAAAAAGAAAGTAGATGGCCCAAGACATGTATTGATATAGAGGATTTATCATGTAAATAGATCGATTTTTGAGAGTATATCTAATTGTTTATAGACTGAGCACGATCGCTAATATTTTCGATAAATCAACTCTGAGGGCGGTTTCAATATCATGTTGTATGTCTCATGTAGAGGTCATGTTTGGGTCACGTAATACGTCATTGTCATCTTCACACACCTCAATAGGTGACGTACACTGTTATTGAAAGAGCTAACTAGGGCGAAAAACCGATAGATCATTGAACAAAAGATGAAGACACTATGAACATGACTGACAAAGAAAGCGGACAAAATATACAGTTCCTCAGGTAGACAAAGAAACATCCCTTCACTGCTTTTATGTAAAAATGTGTAGAACAGGTGTCACATGCATATTCACCTTTTTACATAATAGCAGTGAATGGATGTTCCTTTGTCTACCTGAGGAACTGTATATTTTGTCCGCTTTCTTTGTCTGTCATGTTCATAGTGAGAGGTTTTGTCAACCTCACCTCGCTGTTGATGAGTTCTGTTAAGCGAATACAAAAGAAATTTCGCTCTAAAATGGGACAAGAACGAAATAATTGCGGCATGTTCTTTTTATAGATCGAGCTAACTAGGGCGGAGAAAAGATAATGATGATGAAGAGAAAACGGGAACTTTGTCGATCACAAATTGATTTTAGAAGGAGTGTACCAGGAAGCTGTAATGAATGGAGATACCGTCTCGAAAGAATTTTCCGAGGGAAAAATATTCAAGATTAACCTGGCTTAACAAAAAGAAATGTAACCCTCTCCAACCATCATTTCCATCAACAGCTGTCCATATCAATGCACAGTCCCTCTCTGGAATTCCAAATAGTTCGAAATGTTACGTAACGCCATCTGCTTCCCTAAGTTCTCTATTCACTCTTTTGCAAATATATGCAAGCATCGAGCTTTGAAGCCATGCGTGGCACCGAAAAATTAAGTCATGTTCAGTGAAGATGTATTTAGCTATAACATATAAAATACAGAATTAACAGCATAAGACCATTGCAACTTTATATTAGTCATCAATTGCTTTTTCTGTTCTCCGATAGCTCTACTGAATGCATGGCCATTTCAACCAGCGAAATCGACCAAGGAAATCGTGAGTTAGAGCGAATGAAAGGTTTTCATCATCATGATTTTCTCATCTAATTATTGATATTTTCCGAAAATTTCCGAAATTTGTACATAGCTAGGAAAGTAGTCTAAAGGTTTATCTTCCTAAAGAACTAAATGAAATTGTGTTATATGTTTGCGCATTTATTGATTGAGGGCTAGAAGTTGTCAAGTTATCACCACTATTCACCCCAAATACGGGCCCACAAAGCAAAAGCCGCCGTGCTCGCTGGGCTGGGATGTGTGTGGAAAGGGAGGACCTAGTGCTACTAGGGAGCTGTACGGTTTCGGAGGGGGATTAAGGGGATTACGATAGGGGAAACAAAAGACACGCGGTGCCACGGATGGCTTCAAAGGGGCCTCTTGGACGGGATCTCCATTCATTACAGCTTCCTGAGTGTACAAAGTCCATGGAACAAACCTGTGTCGAAAACCTGACACAATTGCTGTTCTCTTTTAAAATCCTGCTCTCTCTCTCCCTTTCTATGTATGTCTATCTCTTTGTCTCTGTTTCTTTATCTGTCTCTGTCTGTCCACCACTCTCTCAATATATATACCCCTCCTTCAGTTTCCATGTTAATCTATCTCTCTTTCATACATTGTTTCTAATTAACCCTTCTTTCTATTTATTACCTCTACGTACCTCAATCTCCACCACTTCGTCTCTTTATTACCTCTACGTACTGTAATATCCTCTTACGTATTTTTTCAATCCCTATCATTCTATCCTTATATTTTTAACTGTTGTCACTTGTGATCCAATTCATCGTTCTATAAATATATGATGCAGCTGTAAGTACCCATGGGCAGTGAATAGAAATGCATTCCCCCTTTGATTCCACCCCCTGTCTCTTCACTCATTCACCTCTAGTTCTCTGTCGTCCTCCACTTCCCCTCTTTGTATATCCCCTCTTCCCACCTCCCTCCTTTTCCCTTTCTCTACATCTCTTCACTCCCAATCCTTTTACACGTTTCATCCCCTCTTTCCTTCTCTCTACCTCTCCATTTCTCATTTTACCCATCCTACTCTATCAATCACCTCTCTCTCTGCCTCTTTTTTCACCCCCTTAATCTACCACTCTCACAAGCTCGCGCTCTAATCTTATTTTCAATATCCATCCAATTATATTTCCATCTCGGCGTCCTGTGTAATAATTCCATCACTCGTGTTTACCCCTAACCTGAGTAGCATACCAAACAGGTTTTCAAAACCGTTTTACAAAGACTTTCGAGAAATAATTCGAGGGCAATTTCAATACCATATACATTGAAATCTGCTTTAGCGACCACCTGTATAGAAAAACCACTTGCTTTAATATATACACCATTTTATTTCCCTTGAATAGACTTTGCTATTGATACGTGTATTACAGAAACATGTTCACAAAGGCCACCTGCCTCTAAAGACAACCTGCCTCTAAAGACCACTTTTCATGCCCCCCTTGATCGCGGTCTTAATAGATAGGGTTAACTTTTATATCCAATGAAAACCATGTTTAGATTACGTACGTCATTCTAACGATCGAATAAAGGGGATCAGTGGTGATATAAAAGGCTTTTGAAATTACCTTTGGTCTGATTTTTCGGAAATCTTCGCAACCAGTTAGGGGAATGCAGTTTTATTATCCCCCCCTTCCGCGGCTATCCCTTTTCATTTCTTTATGTTTATTGAAATAATGCAATCTTTTGAGATCCCTCTAGGTTAACTTGGTCGACGCCCGAACCATATTAGACTTTGAAGAGTGCATTGACGGGTCCTTTCAGCCAAGACAAATTTTGAAGAATAAAAAACATCGACAAACATCTCTGCAGTAGTGAAATAGCCATCGTGTTGCATGAATTCAGTTTTATCATCCCGCCCCTCAGCGGATATCTCTATTAATTTCTATATTTTTACTGACATAATGCAATCTTTTTAGATTCATCTAGGTTAACTTGGTCGACGCCCAAACCATAATAGACTTTGAAGAATGCATTAACGGGTCCTTTCAGCCAAGACAAATTTTGAAGAATAAAAAACATCGACAAACATCTCTGCAGTAGTGAAATAGCCATCGTGTTGCATGAATTCAGTTTTATCATCCCGCGCCTCCGCGGCTATCCCTATTCATTTCTATATTTGTACTGACAGAATACAATCTTTTGAGATACATCTATATAGGTTAACTTGGTCGACGCCCAAACCATAATAAACTTTGAAGAATGCATTAACGGGTCCTTTCAGTGTAGACAAATATCATCTCCGCACTAGCCAAATAATTTCGCACTTAGACGCCTTTGTCGTTTGGACTAAATAATCTTCCTTCATTTAATTGTGTCTGCTATGTCTGAAATCATATTACTTTACTCTTCTAGTCTGCTACTCGTCGGGTGACCTGCTTTTTGGGATATTGGTATTCATGTCGGTGGCAAACCATATTTACTCCCTTCCTGTTCATATAGGAGTAGTAGGATGATTCATCTATCAGGACAGTATCTTTTGTAATTTTTGTTTGAATTTTAGCTTTTGTAGAAAAAGTGTAGGAGTAAGGGCTTTTTCAGAAGCTTTTTTCTTGTCATATTTCGATTATGATGGTATTTGAAGAGCAATTCTTTTCAGTGATTATTCTTAATATGATATCCCTCGATCCAGACTGATACACAGAGA